ATGGAGAAGGCAGGGATTAAGAAGAGGAGGAGGAGGTGAGAGGATGAGGAGGAGGAGGATGAGGAGGAGGATGGAGGAGGAGGAGGAGAAGGGGGAGGAGGGAGAGGAGGAGGACTGGGAGGAGGCGGATGTAATGGATGAGGCGTTCAGCATGTGCTGTGGCGCTGTAGCGGGTGGGTGGTGGTTGTGGGGGCCGTGTGGTGGGGGCAAGGCTGCCGCGCGGGCCCCCCTTGGCAACGCGAGCCGGCGGCAGCCGCGGCTGCGCACTGCGCGTGGTCTTTGCTCCTCTCCTCACCACCTGCGGGGGACCAAACCAAGGACGTACTCCATCGAGTTCTTGACCGAGGTTCGCCGACAGATGATGCAAGCAGAAAAAGGCGAGGCATCTGTCCATGCCCCTAATCCCCTTCTCTTGCCCGCTCTCTTCTTATACTTCTCCTATTGACCTCTTCTTCCTGCATTTCCTTCTTTTGTGTTCGTCCTCTCGTCTGTCTTGTTTCCCATTCTTCAAGTATTATCTAATCGCTGAGGAAAAGGGCGATGACGAGAACGCGGAGGAGGAGGAGTCCCACAGGAAGGACGGCGCGCTTGACACCACCCCCCTAGATCGCGCGGTCTGGCAGTCATTCCGCCAGAGTTTTCCTGACAATTTATTCAGGAATCGTGCTCTCACCTCAATGCCTCGGAGGTTGATAGACCTCCTACTCGGACACGCCGAGTAAGGAATTGGCCGTTTTCGGTTAGCGAGAGGGCGTCGCGGCCGTCGATTTTGCGGTTCCAGGTTCGTCGGTTTCGGTCCCAGGCCGTTTTCATTAAGGGGAGGTTTACTAGAGGGAGGTTTGTCCACCTAGGGGGCCACATGCGAACACTACCCCCCCCCCCACGATTTCTGAGGGGGAGGATGGGGTTCACTTCCTTCGGGAGCTCCCGAGCGAAGTGAACCCCACCCCCTCTTCAGAAATCGTGGGGGGTGGGGGTAGGGTTCGCATGTGGCCCCCTACCACCGCCGAGTGCCAGTCACACGGTTGGTCCGCACGGCCACGACTTCTCTCCAGCGATGATGCTGAGCTTCACGCGGCCGTGCTCTCACACCCCCGTCCCGTTGCAGCAGACCTCGGGCTCCTCGGCCCGTTGCTTCGCTTTGGCTGCTGTTTTCGGGGGCTCTGCTGGGGTAGTCTTCCTCCTGTTGTGTCCTCTTCCCTCCCATCGCTTGTGGATGAGGCCCTCAGATGCACGGGCGGAGTGCGAGGAGGAGAAGGAGGAGGAAGAGGAGGATTATGAGCAAGAAGAGGGTGGACGAGGAGAAGGAGGAGGAGTCTCCAGATCTCTAGGTTGTCCTCGCGCGCGCCCCGAAGGGGCGCGAGGCCCCAGAAGAGAGAGCGAGACGAAGACGCGAAGACGACGACACGACGACGGTGACACGGGCTGCGTCCCGCCTGCGTTCGTAGACGTCGGAGCAGCATCACCAGAAGCTGGGCAGGAAAGACCTGGCAGTGAGGAATCAAATGCCAGTTTGAATTGCTGGCGCACCGATTCTGTGACAATTGCATTGGGCAATGTATGGCACATCGCCGAGCCTTATACTACATCAGTACAGGCATGCTCAAGTAATCCGGAGGTGCAGCCCCAGATAGTTTGCCCACTGCTTTCGAGGACACGCCGGGGCGGACACATCCTGCCCCCCCAGTCACGCAGCAAGGCGCTATGGCAGTAGCATTTAGGAAATCCAGTGGTGCATGCGCGCGTGTGTGCGCATAGAGCGGTACAGAGACGATTGCTCCCACCGTGCACTCTCGGCCCAGTTTTCGCCGTAACGCGGCATTTTGGCTCAAGAACGCTCCCCCCGCCACAAGGCGAGGAGCGTGAGCGAGCAGTAATTTCCGGCAGCGCTGTTATAAACAGTCCCCTTCATCGTCTACATCCCCATCCTCTCAATTTTATTCTACACGCTGCTAAGCTCCCCGTTCGGACCTAGTTTGCCCATTCTTTATGAGGACACGCTGGGATGGACAAATCCTGCCCGCCCAGTCACGCAGCAAGGCGCAATTAATCAACTGCCAGTTTAGATTGCTGACGCACCGATTCAGTGACAATTACTTTGGTCAGTGTATGGCACTTCACCGAGCCATATAATACATCAGTATAGGTCAAGTAACGGGGATCGACATCCATAGGAGCCCCATGCTCGTTGAGATCATCAGACAATTGTGGGGACGGGATCGTTACTCGCCCAATTCTTTACCTGTAGGGGGGTTCCGGCCATCCATCAGGTGAGCAAGCCTACGCTTGGTTATATCAGCCCTCGCACGTTTGGGCAGATCTTTAGCAATTTGTGGACGTTGGTCGCACTATAAACCGCTCGGCAGAATACATATTGTGCACTGGCCCGAAGCACGTGTCCATAGCCCTTAGGGGCTGTCATCCATTGAAAAAAGACGAAGTTGTCATTGCTGGAGGCCCAGCAGGCTATACACCTAGACCTCGAAGCTTTCGTGTCCCACGCCGCTTGATGGCCAACTACACGAGGAGGGGCCCCGACAATCAACCAGCGGAGGACCCCACAGGAGGAGGGAGAGAAGGGCACGTTTCGAATAGTTTTGCAGGCATTGCGCACGACGGAAGCAAGGAACTTAGCACTTACAATTACAACGACTGTACTACGTTTGATTCGCGTCAGGGCATCGTAATCAACCACGTGGAGTGCGTCTCCACATTTGGCATACATGTCTGCAGCCGCATTCGCCTGGGTGCACCAACCAGGTTGTTCGCGGGTTGCTTTTGATAAGGGAGCTCTTACCTTGTGTACGTGGGTGTATTCATAGCCCATGTCCCTGGTCTTCTCGTGAATAGCTTTCCAGAGATCGGCATGTACAGAAATGCCCGCACACGATGCGCTCGGAGGGGGAAACCGAGTATCGACCACCCACTCACAATCAGAGTAATAATGATAGCCTTGATCATCTCCAGGGGCACTATGTCGAATATGCATCAAGAAAGCTAAAGCTTCAGCGCCAGGAGCGCACTGCACATGATTTGGATAGCACCCATCAGCAACAGTAGTAGGATGATCCAGCCTATGTAAGTAAACCGCTGCATAAAAACGTACCTGATGGTTCGGGGTGCGGGTCCGTGCAGTCCTGAACCATCTCCGAAAGCTGTGGACGTAAAAACCTGGCCCCGTCCCCCACCTTCGCCCACTCCAACTCCAGTTCAATGGACCGGGGGGGAAGAAGCCGTTCTGGGTCAGGGACAAGGGCTGTGTACCACAGGGTCGTGCGGGTGGGCGTCTTTTACCCGTTGAATGTGGTCTGGAAGACCAGAATCTCGTCGGAATGGATAGGTAGCAGGACAACCCCATATCAATTGATGAGTAGCTTCTCGAAGATATCGAGACACGTGCTGACATAGTGAACACCAAAGCCGTAGATGTAGATTACCAGCCAAGACAGCCTTCAAATCATGAGACTGCGCGGCCGTCCAGCCAGATATGTCCCCTTTCAGGATGGCCCGAATGGGGTTAAGAAAAGGAGCCCCAGACAAGTGCTGCAGCAGAGGATGCTGAGGTGCCGATTGACGCCATGCCTATACCTCAGCCTCTCTCGCCATGACGGTTTCGGCGTCTCTGGGAGCAGTCCAAGAAATGTCGATCACGTAGCCTGCCGGAGGTTGCTACAGCGTCGGGGATTGGAGAGACCGTCCGAGCTGAATCAACGTGGCAGCGACCGCCGAGGCAGGCCCATAGAGATCATGCCGCTGGGTCGTGGAGAATACATTTTGGGACGCCCAGCGACGACGATGACGATGACGATGACGATGACGATGACGATGACGACGATGACGATGACGATCGTCATCGTCATCGTCGTCGTCGCGTCTTCGTCATCGACTTCGTCGAGCATCGCGTCAGGGTCCCAGCGGCATGCGCACCACATGAAGATGACGTCCGTGTGCCCATGAACTGCAGGGTGTACAACTTTGCCGAGTTCCATCTCCACGGCTATAGAACGATGTTGCCTCGACGTCGTAGCACTGTGGCAATACTTGAACACTTCATGTACACGTGCTGCAGATATGCCAGTAACATGAGTACCATACATGGCCACTGGTCGTAACTACGCCCGTGCCATACACTGAACTCGTTCTCCAGCCTTCCGCAACTGAGCAAGTCGCACGGCACGGATCTTCGCTCTTTCAATCGAAATTGCAAGACAGAGCGTGCTGTACCCTTGCGAGGACGATGGGTACAGTCAACACCAAGGTTGCGAGCAATCTCTCGGGGTGCCTTGCGCAAGGCAGGGACCTGATCAGTCATGGAATTGGTAATGTCGGGATTGGATGCAAGCTGCGCAAGCTTGGGATGGGATAGAGGCAGATGGGACTCCTGCAACTTTTGCATTAGAGTCGAAGCCACTTTCGGCATCCACTCCATAACGATGCGAGTGGTACCCATCAGAGTACACTGGATGTCGTCAGCCACGACACCATTGTAGACGAAACTATACAATTCGTGCTCAGGGTCGATAACTGGTAGTACAATGCATCTCGTAAGCTGATCTGCGAAACCACTCCCCGCGACGACAGTCAGGGTAGCGAAGACTATGATCCCAGGGATCCCCATGGAAAAGACAACGCGTGGTCCCCGGTAGAGTGCGCGGAGATACCTCCACAAGACGTGTTTGAATCCTAATGTCCAGTGCGCGAGTAGCGAGGATACGATGAACAACGTGCTCAAAAGCTTGCGAATCACCAAGGCAAACTGCTGGAATCCCAACCTCGAGCATGTGCTAGTTCTGCTAGAACCGAATCTTGCCAACACACATCGTAGGCTCGATTTTCCAGACGTGCCAAACATCAGAACTACATGCAACTGTAGTCTCCCAGAGCTTACCCCAAGAGCGACAGTACCACCGCGTGAACATTCTCACACTCGTGGTAAAAACTGCAACCGGACGATCCCCTGAATTTGCGGGTATCAGGGCCATGAAGATGAGGGACAAGATCTGTGGGGTTGTGCCGAGCAGCAGCATAGCCTTCCAATCACCGTCAGTGCCCGCAGTGCCTGGTCTGACAAGTACTTGTCTTGCCGAGGACGAATCCAATCTGCTCCAACAGCCGTTCTCGACTGATAGCTGCGGGACAGCTTCCGAAACTGGCCTGGGTCGGGAAAGTGGAAGCGCTTGTACGTCTACGAGCGTGACGGGGGGGAGATTTGGAGCATCATGGGGCTTGCCGAAGCCCCAAAGCGTATGCCAGAATTTCTCACGACAGTGGACGTGATGCATCGGGGACCCGATAGGAGCATCAGGACGTTCCAGCGCTTCCTCATCAATCTCAAAAGGCTTCCAATGGTCCCAGACTTTGACAAGCCTGTAGGCTGCCGCGGCGGACGCTTTGGTCGATTCCTCAGTGGCCCAATCACACCAGGACTGGTATCCGAGCTTTGAGTTCAATTGCTCCTGTTCGAGGGCCATCTTGCTCGCTCGTGGCGACGGGGAGCAGGAAAGCTTGTTTCTTCCACCAGCGCCGCTCGGCAGGCAGAGGTCCCTCACGAGGGTTCGGGTAACATCGACGTGCTCGGCACGCTGGGAAGAATGCATTTTCATCCAGCACTCGCCATCGGAGTGCGAGCACCACCCTCAACCTGAACCGACGATGCCTCCAAAGACGGCCATGTAATGAAATAGAATGGAAACCTCGGCATCGCGTCGATGCCGGTAGCAAGAATATAGAACATCGCTGCCCTCATCTCGTAGATAAGGCAGGATCACTCTTGAATCTGCTTGGCAAACTCGTCCCAGGGGTCTCCCTGGAGCTCAGGTTCACAACAATCGGGCGGTGCAACGGGGAACGCGGGTGGCTTCCTGATCACACGAATCATCCGTTGTTTGAACTCTGCAGATCCATCGAGAACAACAGGAGAGTGTCTGGGAATAGCGTCGGTATCGATCACACGACAAGTACAGTCATCTGCAAATATACGATGAACTACAAAATAGTCAATACAAGAAGGTACCTCACCACTGACATACGTCACCGAGGATGGTGCAATGACACCTGCATGCACAAGATCCGGCCAGTCGGTGTGCAAGAGATCCTGAGGGGACATCTGCCAGTCCCCGCGGATATTGAACGGAGTGCCAAGAGAGGTGTTGGATAAGTGGTGCCGCTGATTTGAATTTGATCAACTCCCGGGCCCAGGAAAGGATGGAAGAAAGGGCCTGACGGTGATGATGATGATGATGATGATGATGGTGGTGATGATGATGATGATGACGATGATGATGAGGATTACGATTATGGTGATGATAATGATGATGCTGATGCTGCTTATGATGATGCAGATGATGATGGCGGTGATGGTGATGATGCAGAATAAGATGATATTGCTTGAGAGCAATACTGTAATGATGCTGTACGACGATGATGATGCTGATGATGCTGATGCTGGTGCGGATGACGATCATGATCATGACGATGCTGACGATTATGATGCTGGTGATGATGCTGATGATAGTGACGCTGATGATGCTGAAGATGGTTTTGATGATGCATATGATGCCGATGACGATGATGCTCACGATGACGATGGCGATAACGATAACGAATCTGGTGATGCTGATGATGATGATGCGGCTGCTCATGACGATCGTGATTATGATGTTGATGGTGATGTTATCGATGCTGATGATGCTGATGCGATTGAGGATGATGCTGCTGATGATGATTGTGGTGGTGGTGTGGGTTATGATGATGATGATGATGATGATGATGATGATGGTGGTGATGATGATGATGATGAGTATTTTTGTGACGATGATGATGGAAGTGACGATGACGATGACGGCGACGATGGCAATGACGGTGATGATGATGAAGACGACGACGGCGACGACGATTATGATCATGCTGCTGTTGATGGTCATGATGATGGTGATGATGATAATGATGATGGTGATGATGTTGATGGTGATGGTGATGATGATGGTGATGGCGATGGTGATGACGATGATGCTGCTGCTGATGATGGTGATGATGTTGATGATGATGATGGATGATTATGTTGACGATGATGATGGCGATGATGATGATGATGATGATGATGATGATGATGATGATGATGATGATCATGGTGGTGGTGGTGGTGATGGTGATGATGATGCTGATGCCGATCATGATGATGATGCTGATGATGATGATGATTGTGATGATGATGATGGTGATGATGATGATGATGATCATACTGACGATGATGATGCTGATGTTGATGAGTGGGATGGTGATGATGCTGCTGATGATGATGGTGATGGTGATGATGATGGTGATGATGATCATGATGATGATGATGATGATGATGATGATGATGATGATGATCATGATGACGGTGGCGATGCTGTTGATGATGATATTGATGATGGTGATGATGATGATGGTGATGATGATGATGATGCTGATGATGATGCTGATTATGATGATGATGATGATGATGATGATGATGATGATGATGATGATGATGATGATGATGATGCTGATGCTGACGCTGACGATGACGATGACGATGACGATGCTGCTGCTGCTGCTGCTGCTCATGATGATGATGATGACGATGATGATGATGATGATGATGATGATGATGATGATGATGATGATGATGATGATGATGATGATGATGATGATGATGATGCTCAGGATGATGATGATGAGGAGGAAGATGAGGAGCAGGAGCAGGAGGAGCAGGAGGAGGAGCAGGAGGAGGATGCTGGGGAACAGGTAAAAGAGATTGGCGGGGCGGGGGGGGGGGCGCGGGCGCCGCAGAACGAGGCGGTCTACCGAAGACGGTGAAGCTGCCGCCGGGAGTCTGGCCCTCGGAGCGCCAGGCGGACCACTCTCGCAGCTGTCGTCGGGGGGCCGGACACCAGTCAGGACGATCGAACTGGGGACCGGGTGAATCAGGGACGGAGGATCGGCATCAGCTCCTGCCCATCTTGAACAGGGCGCGCTGTCGGTGTCGCCGTGGGCCTTGTCCGCTGGGGACGGGTGGCGCCTGTCCAACCGCGGCCGCGTGTTGGGTTTTGGCGAAGACGTGCTGCTGCTGGTCGTCGTCCCCATCCCTTCCATACCTTCCATTCCCCCTCCTCCTCCTCCTCTTCCTCCTCTTCTCCTTCCTCCTCCTCCTCCTCCTCTTCCTCCTCTTCCTCCTCCTCCTCCGCTTCCTCCTCCTCTTCCTCCTCTTCTCCTTCCTCCTCCTCCTTCCATTTCCAGGCCGACTCGGGGCTCAGCGTGCGTTGCGGAAGGAGGCCGGTAGGTGCTCAATGGAGGTGGGACCTCTGGAGGTCGGGAAGGGGGTGTGGCAGGAAGGGGTGCGTTGCCAAACGTGGAGGTGGCGATGTTGCCTGCGATAGACTCGCCAGATCCAGCACTGGCACCACACCCCCATGCACCACACCCCTTGCCCTACCCCCAGACAGGAGAGGGGAGGCTGCCTGCCGAATCCGCCGCCTGCACCTCGAGGCCACGGAGAGGGGGGGTGCTCGGTTGAGCGGCGGGGACTCTCGACCGATGCAGCTGCTCGTGCCGGAGTCGGGGCGCAATCCACCTGGCGAGTATCGTGCACGGCGTACCTGGTCTGCAGCGCAGTAGACGTACCCATCGGACGTTGAAAGTTTTTTTTTGATTTCCAGATTCCAAGCTAACCTTGTCTCTAGCGCTGGATACGTACCGATTGGTCGTTATAACTTGATACTCTTGGATCCCCATATTCCAATCTCCTTTGCGCGCCTTCCTACTTAAATGATCGAACGGCTTCACCTTTTCCGTCCTCTTTAGGGGGCGGACGGAATTCATTATATTTTTAATGCCTTCCTACTTCATGTTTCTTCCTACTTCTTCCGACCGATGGGTAGTCACGTCATAGGATTTCGGTCATGTTGTACTTGGCATCACTGGCGGCATACCGACGTATGATTATGATCGTAGTTAGCCGTTTGAGGTAGTGTTGTAGTCCTCCTCCTGGGTATTCCCACGCGCTCGCTTCGCGTATCCGTATAGCATCCTCTGTAGGCTGCGCTGGTTGTGGGAACCCATAGGGGAGGGTAGGCCCATGGACTTGCACCACTCCTGTGTGATCGGGTTTCCTTGCTGGTCGACCAAGTCCACGAAGCTTTCGGTATCACTTGTGCGAGTAGGCTGGTACTGTGGTTGAAGCTCATTTGCCAGGTCGCATCCGCTGTAGTTCATGTAGTGGATGTTTAAATGCGTGCAGTGGCCCGTGGGCAGGTCGAATTGCTGGCCAACTAGTTGAGCAACGGTCGCCTTCTTGAGTGTGCCGGTAGTAGGTGCTCCTTTGCCAATTTCCAGTGCAACGTAGTCGTCTTTCTATGTGTCCCACGGCATGTAGAACTGGAACCGAATTGCCATATCGTATAGGATCGTCTCCAGCAGGGTGCAGTTTTCGGTGGCGTGCCGGGTAACCATCTTGCAGGGGTTGTTGTGCGTCTTGTCCGTTGTGTGGTCGCCATCTCTTTCCTCTTCCTCTTTCCCCCTTCCTTTCCCCATCCTCCCTCCTTTCTCCCTCTTCCCGCCTCCTTCCTTCTCCCCTCCTCCTCTTCCGCCTCCTCCTCCCTCCTTCCTGACCTCCTCCCTCCTCCCTTCGGCGCCTTCGGCTTCACATCTGCATGAAGCCTTTCGGCTGCCTCTCCTTGCTCCTCATCATTAATCCTCCCTCCTCTTCCCCCACTCCGTCCTTTCCGTAGTCCCTCCTCACTCTCTTCGTCCTGTGCCTCCCTGTCCCTTCCCCTCCTCCTCCTTTTCCCCATTCTTCCTGTGTCCTCCCCCTCCTCCTCCTCCTCCTCCTCCTCCTCCTCCTCCTCCTCCTCCTCCTATTCCCCCTCCTCCTCCTCCTCCTCCTCCTCCTCCTGCTCCTCCTCCTCCTCCTCCTCCTCCTCCTCCTCCTCCTCCTCCTCCCCCTCCTCCTTCCTTTGATCCCTAATTGCCGTGTCTCTTCTGTTTCTCCCCTTCGTCCTCTCCTGCGCCTCCTCCTTTTCGTCATCCGTCCTTTCCGTCCCCGTCCTCCGCCTTTCTCCTCCCCTTGGCCCCCTATTGCGCGCACACGCCTCCAGGCGGACGAGCCAGAAGTCACCGGCGACAACTCGGCCGAGGAAGCGGTGGAGAAGGCGGAGGGGGAGGACGAATGGGCTGAGGGGGAGGGGGAGGATGGACGATGGGTAGGAGGACGAGGAAGCGGTGGAGGAGGAGGAGGAGGAGGAGGAGGAGGAGGAGGAGGAGGCGGAGGAGGGCTCCCCGCACAGACGCAACAGCACCAGTCAGCCACACAAGCCCAGACGCCTCAGCCAGGTCAGACCCGATCTCCGGTCTGAGCTGGCAGGGACCGCCCACCACCATTCCTCCCTCCCTCCCTCCCTCCTCCTGCCTCCCTCCTCCTGTCGTCGTCGGTCTGTTAGTTCCTTCGCGGGTAAGCCTCACTGTTTGGCTGGAGCATCTTGGGACTCTCTCAGCCTCTCGGGGCCTTCCTGGAAGCCTGGGGCTCTCTTAGGGCTCTCTCCGGGTTTTTTTGGGGGCCCTCTCGGCAGCCTTCGGGGCTCGCCTGGGTAGCTACAGGACGGCGGCGAGTGATACCACCACCGCCCCATGCCCGCTCGCGCTTGGAAAAACCCATTACACCAGAGAAAAACCCAATCAGAAGATGGTTTTCGCTGAGGAGATCGACCGGGAACCTGGGAGCCTGGGAACCCAGAACCCACCGAAATCGGCCCGGAACCAGTAACCGGGAACCTGGGATCGAACCTGGAACCGGGAACCCGGGAACCCAGCCTGCTACCAAAAAAGGTGCCTCTTCTTATTTCATTAATTACGGCCCTGGTCCCCCCGCTGGGCCGCGCACATGCCGCCGGTCATGATTTGCACCCCCCCTCTTGGACACCCCCCTCTTTGCCGCCCCCGAGAGTCCACGTTGAGAAGCATCACGAGGTCGGGCTTGGGGCCAGCAAGCCACCTCCAGCGAGGAGGCCCGCGTTGCGTTCCCGAGCCGCAGGCTGGAGACGCCTCGAGCGGGCCACGGGCCGCTTACAAGGTGGGCCACGGCACCAGGAGGACCGTCCCTGGTCCCTCGCGATGGTGGCGGTGGTGGTGCCGATTCCCCTGGCTCGTATTCCGGCCGTGTCCGTGGCTTCGGGTGCGCCCAGGTTTTAGCCGAGATATTTTGCCATTTTGGAGCCTGGGCTTTCTGCCTTTGATTTTCTTGGCCACGCGCGCATGGGGGGTGGCTGAGGGGGGAAGGCGTCTTAAGAGCACACCCCCTCCTTACAAGAGGCGCGGGCGCCCCTTCTAAAGAGCTTGTGGCTGCTTCTTGGAAGCTGTTCCTGGCGTGCTTCTGAGAAGCTTGTGGCTGCTTCGAAGAAGCTTGTGGCTGCTTCTTGGAAGCTGTTCCTGGCGTGCTTCTAAGAAGCAGGTGGCCTGCTTCTGAGAAGCTGTTCTCGTGCTTCTGAGAAACAGCCCCGTGCCTCTGAGAAGCTGCTCTGGGTGCTTCCGAGAAGCGGCGCGCCCCCGGCGTCTTGGAGAGGGCGCCCCGCGCTTTCTCTGAGAGAGGCAGCCGCCTTCTGCGAGGCCTGCCCCAGTCCGTCTACTATCTCCATTGCGTGCGCCGCCAATGTTCAGTCGGGCATGTCCCTCTGCAGGAGGACTGTTCAGAAGTAGTCAAAAAATAATCAGGGGGCGACTGTGTCGACTATTTGTGAGTAGTTTTGTGCATCCTCCGTCTGCCCCCACTGCGTGCGCCGCCAATGTGAAGTCGGGGAGGCCCTTCTGCAGGAGGAATGCCCAATAGTAGTCAAACAATCCGTCTGGGGGCGATTTCTCGACTATTTGGAAGTCTATTTTTGTTCATCTTTGTTTTGGGCAATTTTTTAAAATTTTCCATCCACAGCGCGCCCGCAGGTTGACATGCCCGACCTGTCGCCACTGTCCGTGAGGGACGCCCCTGGGGGCGCCAGGGGCCTCCCACGCGGTCGCGACGTCCGCCCCTCGCGCCTCGATCTGGGGCCTCCCGCGTTCGACAGGAGCGGCGGAGGCTCGCGGCGCGTCGCCGATGGTACGGCGGCGATGCGGCCCGCTCCGGGGAGCCGGATGTCCTCCATGCCGGCGTCGTCGTCTATCGGGCCGGACAAAGGGGGGGATGGGGAAAGGGGGGGCACGAAATCTGCCGCACGCAGCTGATTTCGGCTCCGCCGCTGGGCCCATGCCTCGACGCATGGGCGCCTGCCGGCGCCGGGAGGCGCTGAGAAAATCAGCTACGCGAGCTGATCCTCCACCCTACCCTCTGCTATCCCCCCTTTCGTTCCCCCCGAGTTTACATCCCCGACGCGTCGCAGATGCTGTGCGATCTTCGGACCCCATTGGCGCACGTCGGCTCCAGTGTCGTGGCAGGGGCGTCCGCCGATCGAGGGGGGGACCGCCGGTGGTGTGCAATCGGTCGTTGAAAGTAGGTATTGTTGGATTCCCAGATGCGCCTTCCTACTTGAATGATGCTACTTGATTCGGATGCTGCTATCTTTCCTGCCTACTTGATTCATTCGGTTGTTGCAAACTACCTGAAGCGCCTTCCTGCTTCAATGATCGAGTGGCTTTCCCTTTCCCGTCCTCCTTCGGGGGCGGACGAAACCCAATCGACTTTCAAAGTCTTCCTACTTCATGTTTCTACCTACTTCTTCCGACCGCTGGGTATGTGTGGCCGTTGTTGCTGTTGCTTGTTTGCTTGCTCGCTCTCGTTCTCTGCGGGCTTGTCTCGGGCCTCGGGTCCCAGGGTTGGTCACATCCAGGAGGGGAGAGACACACACCCACCCACACACACAGACACATGCAACAGTCGATCCCCAGGGAAATCTGGGAAACTATGGGAAGGGGGGGGCAGACGAAGCTCCAGAAACTGTGGGAAAAGCATCTGGGCATCCTGTGACCCGTGTGCATGTATTAGTTGTGTGTCCCTGGGCCCCTTGACATGATCATCAGCAGCATCAGCAGCATCGTCATCATCATCATCAGCATCAGCAGCATCGTCATCATCATCATCATCAGCAGCAGCAGCAACATCATCGTCATCGTCATCATCATCATCATCATCATCATCATCATCATCATCATCATCATCATCATCATCGTCATCGACATCATCATCGTCATTATCATCATCCTCATCATCACCAGCAGCAACAGCCGCAGCATCGTCATCATCATATTCAGCAGCATCACCATCATCGTCATGATAGTCATTGTCGTCATTATCGTCACCATCATCATCATCATCACCATCATCATCAGCATCCTGACGGCCCGGGACGGCAGCCGGCCCACGGACGGGGGGGGCCGACGGCTCCCGGGGGGGGCGCGCCGCGGAGAGGCGGGCACGGCCTGCGGGTGCCCGCGGAGGCGGCGGCGTGCGGGGAGAGTCGGAGGGGGGCGCGTCCTTCCGGAGGGGAAACAACACGGGCACAGTGAATCGTCGACTCTCACAGGGAACCGAATTCTATACACCGATGCTTTCTGCGGCCCTGCACTGAAACTGTCGCAGGAGAGCAGATCCAGGTGCATACGGGATCCTGGTGTATACGTTTTCCGTCGTTTCCCCGGGAACACGGGGAAACAAGTATACACCACACAACCCCGACGTCGTCCCCGACCGAAAAATGATCGGAATTGAAAAACGGTTCACCACTGGTAATGTATATGCTCCAGTTTCCGATCTCAGGAAAATATGGGAAAATATGGGAAGCGTGTGGGGGAGGACGAAAACCCAGACAACCCAGAAACGTGTGCGTCCCGCTCCTTCGGTGCTCTTTTGGGGAGCCAAGGAGGCCCAAAATGGCGGGCAAACCCTCAAGACAGGTTGCCTTGAGGACCCCATGACCCTCACAGCGAGCAAGAGACATTCGAGGCCTCCCAGATAGGGGTCCGAGCAGATTGGGTCTGGTGAGTTGGATGGGGGTGCGTCCCGTTTTTTCGGTGCTCTCTGGGCCAGGGCTGGACCCAAACGCTGTTCTGCTAGCCTTCGGCGGTGTCATGTTTTTTTCGTTGTGGGAGGGAGGCAGAAAAGAAAACAGGTAGAGCAGAACGAACAACAAAACGAAGACACAACGAAAAACGACGTTTAGGTCCAGCCCTGGTTCCAGGCCTCCTAGATGGGGTCCGAGCAGGTGGGGTCGGAGGTTCGCGCCGCACCGCTGAGGCATCGGCGACGCGGCTCGACGCGTCTCGATGCGGAGCCCAATGTGCTCCGCACCCACGTCGCCAATGCATCGCCGAGGTCGCCAGTGCATCGCCGATGCATCGCCGATGCATCGGCGATGCATCGGCGATGCGGCGCGATCCTTCGACCCCATATGCTCCGACCCCATCGTGGAGGCCTTTAGGTGCACGTTGCCTTCATCCCTCGGGGGTGGACAGAACCCTCACCCTGACACGTCGACGAGTGAATTGTTCGTTTTCGGTTCTCGAGAGGGCGCCGCAGCCGTCATTTTCCAGGCTTGCGCCCGCCAGGTTTGGGCCCGAGGTCGTTTTCACTAAACCACGTTTTACTAAAGGGAGTTCTTCGAAAGCTGGGCGAGGGCTGCTAAAACCGTGGCTGCTAAAACGGCCCTCCCGGAAGGAAAAAGCAACTTCCCGGAATGAGGCGCGGCACGCGAAACGGTCAACGGGCTTCTTCCCGGAAGGACGAAGACAACTTCCCGGAGGTCGATTTTAGCAGCCACGGATTTAGCAGCCCTTGCCCGGCTTCCGAGTTCTGTCCGTCCCCGAGTCCCGAAGAAGAAAGAACGCCACAGACACACTTTTTGGGCGCTCCGCGCGGGTTTCTTGGCTCTGTGGCTCCGCGCCTGCCCCCCCCCCCCGGCGGCGCCTCCGCCGCCGCCCTTGGCGCGCTCCGCGCGACGGGGAGGGACTCCAGCGCAGATCCAAGAAGTCCGCGCGGAGCGCCACAAGTTTATGTTCATCCAATGTGTTCTTCGCTTCTATGTCGCAGGAGGGAGTGTTCTATTCCTTCGTTGCGCGTCTCCCTCATCGTCGTCCCTTCGTTGCGCGTCTCCCTCATCGTCGTCCGCCCCATCTTCACCTTCACTTCCTCCCTCTCCTTCCTCAGGGTCCTGCTGACGGGAAGTCCAGCAGCTGCCAGAATGTCGGCTACTTCCCCAGCGCGGCGTCTGCGAAGTGGGAGGGCCCGGCCGACCCTTTGTGTGGCAAGATCTTTGTCGGCCGCTTGGACCTGTCGACCACCGAGGAAACCATCCGGTCGCATTTCTCTTGGTACGGGACCGTCATCGACTGCCACTTGGAGAGAGGCTGGACTGGACTCTCGAGGGGCTTCGGGTTCGTGCTGTTCGACAACGCCGCCTCCGCGAAGAAGGCGGTTGAAGAAGATGGCCACCGTATCGATGGACGTTGGGTGGAGTGCAAGAGGTATGTCCCGCAGGAGCCCGCCCTCTCACCGCGATGCCACGTGTTTGTCTTCCCTGTGCTCTCCCTGCCCTTTCTTACTCTCCACTCTCCCCCATCCTGCCCACTTTCCCTCCCTTTCTTACCCCTTTTTTCCTCTCCCCGCTATCTCTTCCCCCATGTCTCCTCTCTCTTCTCTTCCTCCTGTGACTTGTGGAGGTGGGGAGGGATGCCTTCTGGAAGAGGAGAGGGACGAGAAAGAGGAGGGAGGCGGGAGGAAGAGGAGGAGGAGGAGCAGGAGGAGGAAGAAGAGGAGGAGGAGGAGGAGGGGAAGGAGGAGGAGGAGGATGAGCTGGAGGAGCAGGGATGGATGGATGGATGGATGGCACGCTTGGGGGGGGGGGTAACGTGCCGCATTCGGCTCTGTGTAGAGTTTCGCGTGCCTCCAGCCTATGTCCAGTGCCCCCGGCGAATCTATTGGAAGGAGGGGCGAGGTGCTAGAGTCTCCAACCGCTTGCCTGGCCCGCCAGCGTGGGAGCCAGTGTTTTCGCGCTGGTGGACCGTCGACGGATGCGCACGCACGATCCCACCGCTGCACTCCTTCAGCCACCCACGCCTCCTTGCACCGACCTCCTGCTGGGGCACGGGGAAACGGTCGGCGCCGCGATCGACAAGCTAGCGTTAGCATGGCTCTCGCTCGCTCGCTCCCTGCTGTCGCCTCCCTCTCCAAATGTCGAGTCGATGGCAGCACGCTGGGCAACGATCGCTACAGCTCCGTTCGAGGGGGAAGAGGACGAGGAGGGGAGGCTCACAACAGGAGGAGGGGGAGCAAGGAAGAAACAACGCTCTGCTTGGCTACAACAAACCTGCTCCATCACTCCTGCTCTTTGCTGCTGCCACTGCTGTCCTGTCTTGGCTCTCGCTTACCCTTGCTGCGTCGATCGCAGCTGCCTCTCCATCACCCGCGCCAGCTCTGGATACGGTACCTGTCCGTTCATCTTCTCCGCTGTCTGCCGTTCGCGTCCCATGTTGAACGCCGAACGCACCTCCTTTATCTTGATCGCGTGCCCGCTGGGCATCTGTCCGAACTGCTCGAAGTTCACTCCCTTGTTGAAGTTCACCGCGATTTGTGCCTTCAAGTCCTCCTGCGCGTATGCTTTCTTCACTCTGCACACCTCGATCGTCTCTCTCACCACTGCTTGTCCGCTCGGCCCTTACGCCAGCTCCAACCACTTCGTGATGGTCTCCTCGCAGCATGCCCTTTGCCTTTACCGTGGCCCTTGCCCTTGTCCTTCACCGTCTTCGTGTTGTCCGAGACTGCTCACTTGCCATGCTCCGCGCCTTTCTCGTCGGCCAGGCGAGGCCATAAGTCATACATCGTCGCTACCAGCTCTCGGCCTTGGGCGTTGTGCACCTCCATCATGCTCACCATCTTGCCGTCCAGGCCGAATCGCTTGCCTCTGCCCTCGTCGGCCTTCCTGGTTTTGCCTCCTCGCTCCCCTGGTGATCCTCTCTTGGTGCCCGTCGCCGTACTTCGATTCTTGTGTTGCCTCGGGGCCATGGTGCGTCTCGAGCCTCGCCTCGCCGTCGACTATCATCGCTCTCTGTGCCGTCCGCCTCCAGGTGCAGTCCCAGCATTCCCGTGAAGCGCCGAACCGCTCTTTGACTCTTGCCGCCTTGTGCTGCATTCGTTTCGTAGTAGCGTGGGCTCCAACTCCACGTAAGCTGACCAGGTGGCGAGTGGTCCAAACACTCAGTCTTCCGCCTTCTTCGCCAGGCTCTGGTTCAAGATTACCAGTCGCCTCGTTGGCCTTTGTTTCTTCCAAGCCCCGTGCACCCAGCCACACATTCGTCTTCGTGACGTCACCCATGAGCGTGGCCAGGCTCCGATCCACCTCCTCCGCCTCCTCCAGCGCCGGGCTCCGCGTCCTCACCAGCCCATGCGTAGTATCGTTCTCCTGCAGCTCCACATACCACCGGTTGATGTGCGGGCTGTAGTGGTCATTGGGGTCTTTGGGCGCTGGACAGTGGCTCATGTGACGACTTCCCCGTCAGTGGTATGGGGTCCACTTCGTCACCAGTGCCTCTGCTCATCATCGACGAGTGCTTTACGGCCTCCACTGCAAAGGGGCACCTCTTTCTTCGAACTCTGTTCACGTGCAATCTGCTCCAACCTACTGCGCTTTGTGCATCCAGAAGCGATCGTACAGTCGAAGTTGGCCGTGATATAGCTGTTTTTGAGCTCTTGTCGCAGCTCCGCGTGGCAGGAGAGCTCTGTTCTCCCCAGTCCAGCCCCAGCGTGCCGCCGAACCGCGCAGTAATCTGGCTCCACCGCTTTGTGGACCTCGCCATTCTCATTCTTCCCCCGACGTGATGAGCCGCTCTCGACCCACACGCGTACGTGGCTGGACATCTGCTTTGTTTTCCTGCTCTCCCTCCAGTCGCCGCGCCACTCGCTCGCTCAGTTCGCGTGGAGCTGCGCTGTTCTGCATCGACTTCTCGGTCTACGCAGTGTGCCATTTCGGAAGGCAGGCCTCCAGTTGAAGGTGCTCTTCTCCTAGGTGTCGTTCGTAGTTCACGTGCGCTTGCTTTCCTGCCTTTGCGACCATCGCCCTGCAGGTCGACAGCCCGCCGACCTGCAATACCCTTGCCATCCTCGTCCACCTTGTTGCGGTACTCGGTCTTGACTGCCTCGGAATCAATCGTCTTCGCCGCCGCCAGCCCGCCTTAATGTCCCGGCTCGTGTAGTTCTGAGTTCCATTCAGCTGCTTCCGTAGGAGTTCCCCGCGCGGAGACGTATCTTTTTGTTGGACCTCTTCCAGCTGCATTGGCAGCGGATGGCATGTATCTCGGCGTAGTTCCTCGCCTCGACCGCTTTGATGATGGCCTCCGCTATCTCTTGCCTCTTGCTTCCTACGCTTGTCTCTCACGACGCGCTCTTCTTTCAGTTTCGACGGCACATCTGTGTACTGACTTTGTGTGTGCTCTGCCACCTCCTCGTACATGCTGTGCCCAGTGGCCTCCTTCAATTCTCTGTGCTGGTCAAGTAACTGCCTGCGATGTGCTTTCACTTGTTCCTTCCATTTCGCTTGTGCCTTTTTCCAAACAGGAATCATACACTCCAGTGCCTCCGTGACCGATCCTCTCAGCAGATCCCGCTTGTCATTTGGTGTGCATCTTGCTTTTGCTGCTTGCCACTGCTCGTATGTGATACTCATTTGGTTGGCCTCCATCCTCACGAGCGAGTGTTATCTTTCTTCCCATTTGCCTAGCATCTCAACAACTAATCTCTGTGTCCTTTTGTAGGCCAGTGTTGTCCTCCCAGGTTGGTATTGCAGTTCATGGTGATTGCGACTGGACTGTGTTCTCGGTGTTCTCGCTGTTCTCTCCCACGAACTGATTGAAATCTACGTCCTGCAATGGATACAGTTCTGCTGTACAAGACTGCGCCAGCCGCTCCGTCTGGTATAATGATGTGATCAAATCTCGAGTGCAATTTCCCGCGGCCAAAATATTGCCAATCTAGTCATCGAACGTTGATAGTATCCTAAATGTGCTCAGGCTGGTAATCCGATTACTCGCTTTTAGTACTGCGACCATACTCGTCACATAACTGCTCCACCTAATGAGATAGGCTTTTTGCCAACTCTTCGTTGTTCTTCTTTCCCACTGTTCGCTAGTAAGTCCCATTCAAACCATGTCTATGTCCAACTGCTGTTGACAAATGGCTGCTGGTCGTGTTGCTCTTGCCGCAGACCTTCTTTTCTGTATCTGGTTGTGGATCATGAAGCCTCTGCCACCGCTGACGACGCGGCGACGAGTCCGACGCTTAGAATTAAGTCGGACCTGTCGCTCTACAGGAGGATTGCTCAAACATAGTAACAAATAGTCAGGCGACCATTTGTTGGGACAATTTTTGGGACCATGATTCGAGCATGTTTGAATATTGTTGGCGCATGGTTTGGTTATTTTGATTTTTTCCGTCCACACTCCACCTGTGGGGGGACAGGCCCGACCTGGTTAGAACCACGGCTCGAATGTCGAAGACTTGGTCGGGCGACGGCGGCGGCGGCGTCGGCGGCGGCAGCGACGGCGGCCGCAGTCCTCTTTCTCCCGCGGCGGGAGGCGCCCGCGGCGGCGCGCGGCTCCTGCCTCCGCGCGGCCCTCGGCGCGGTGTCGCCCGGGGCCTGCCTCGTGGGGCGAGGAGGGGGGGCTGGCCGCCCGGGGGGGGGGGGTGAGCATCTGGGGCAGGAGGTGGCCATGAAGCCATGTCCGCAATCGCCGCCGAACGCGGCCCATGCCAAGGAGCACCCTGCTTGCCTCGAGGGTGTGCCGTGGTTCTCGGGTTTCGATGGTTTTGTGATGGGAGGCGTGACGTTCCCACACCAATTCTATCAACGGACGTCTTGGGGTCTCGGGGTTGGGGTTCCTGCGGAAGCTTTCTTGTGGACTGGCCTCCACTGTATTGGGCGTTCCTTGCGGTGGGCAGCGATTCCCAGTAGCTCGCGCATCTGCAGTGTGGGCCTCGGTGCTCCAGCCCGCCTAGCAGCGGGCAGTGTCGCTGAGTATTTATCGAGGGCGTATCGTCGATCCATCGGCGATGCCTCGCCCCCTGAGCCAGTCCCCCCCCGTCGTCCCCTCCCTCATTCGCCGATCGCCCTGCGAGGACCAGTCCAGACAGACCGAAGCGAAGCTCTGCGACAGTCACTGTGGGGCCAGGCAGCTCGATGCAGATCCAGGGGTGTCCACGCACAATCTTGGAACAGCCTGGAAGTGCCTCGGAGAGACGAGGGCCACGGCAGAAGCACCATGAAGAAAAGGGGTCCTGGAGGGGTAGGGGGATGAGGTTTAGGAGGAGGAGGAGGAGGTTGAGGAGGAGGAGGAGGTTGAGGAGGAGGAGGAGGAGGAGGAGGAGGAGGAGGAGGAGGAGGAGGAGTAGAGGGTATAGGATGCGCCCGAGGTTTATGATGTTCCAACCTACTTCAGCCTTGACCACCAGAAAGAAGTTCGTGCACCAACAAAGTACCGAAACCAGAGTGTTTTCGCGTGTCGGGCCCTGGGAGGCGATACTCGTTACGACACTGTTTTGACGCTTTTGTGGGTGCTCGAAATTATTTCTGGGATGTGATCCTTAAGTGCCATGGGAACAACATAACCCGAGGTCTCGAACCCCTTGGGGACACTGCTTCGTCCCGGGTCCATGATGGGACACAGATTTCGGCTGCGCGCCGAAGAGGGGAGTGAGATTGAGCAGGCCTTCTCGGAAGGCGGCCAGGTGTCTCCAAAGCCCTCGGGCCTTCTGAGAAGCCCCCCGTGGTTCCGGAGAAGGCTCAGAGAGTTTTCCAGAAGGTTGGAGCCAGGGCGCATTGTCGCTTCCAGGCAGTCAAGGCGATTGAAGCCCAGGTGGGCTGTCCAGCAGTAGCCGCTGCCCATTTCAAACAGCATCGTTTGGGCATCGTCCGCAACACGCAAGACAAGGGGAAGGAATGGGGAAGGGCATAAGAAGGAGTAGGAGGAAAGGAGAAGGAGGAGGCGGAGCGGGAGGAGGTCAGACAAGCGACGAGGATGAGGGTCAGGAGGGGTTGGGGGATGAGGTTTAGGAGGAGGAGGAGGAGGAGGAGGAGGAATAATAATAATAATAATCATAATACTAATCATAATAACAATATTAATAATAATAATACTAATACTAATACTAACTAATACTACTACTACTACTACTACTACTACTACTACTACTACTACTACTACTACTACTACTACTACTACTACTACTACTACTACTACTACTGCTAATAATAATCATAATAATAATAATACGAATAATAATAATAATAATAATAAGAGGAGGAGGAGGCGATGTAGCCCTCTGATCCGGGCTCTGCAGGCCAAGCTCGGAGGAGGAACATGGAGGAGTCGTGGGGGGAGGATGGGGGAGAGGAGGAAGAGGCGGAGGAGGAGGGAGGAGGGAGCAGGGAGGGGGGAGGAGGGAGAACGCAGGGCCTCCGTGCGCCGCCCCGTGCCAAGGCGCGGACGCCGACGCGTTCTACCCCAGCGTGCCGACGGAGGACGCGGGCCACCGGCGCCGGCCGCTGCCCGCCCCGGAGGGGCAACGTCGGGGGGGGGGGAGCTCGTGATCCGCGCCCTCGCGGTCCACAAATCCCAGGATTCCTTGCAGACCTTCCTGCGGTATTACGGGACGTGACAACGGCCATCCCCGAAAAAGCCCCGAAAAAGCCCCCGAGTCCGGGCTTTTGCACTTCTCCCGTCGTGGAGCGGACGATTCGCGGACCTTCGGCCCCTCTCGGAGGGCGCAGGCCCGCCGCACGCCGGCCCGTGTCGTCGCGGGAGGTCCTTCTCCGCCGGCTCGGGCCGTCCGTCACCGATCCGGGCTCGTCCTTCGCACTTCCCCGATCCGGGCCTCTGGAAGTCGATTATACTCGGGAGCCTTGAGACGGGGGTCAATGCAAACGAGGGTCAGCCAGGGCGCCAGATCCTGCAGGATCCTGCGAAGACCCCCTCTGGCTGACCCGGGTTAGCGAGCCGCTCGTGGCCGCGAGGCGGCCGCACATATTGGCTGACCCGGGTTTGCGAAGACCTGCGATGCAGTTTTTTTTTCCTGCATTGCAGTTTTTGGTTTCCTGCTGACCCGGGTCTGGATTGACCTGGGTCAGAAGATCCCCGATATACGCGGCGTGAAAACGACCACAGCCACTGCTTTTCTTTTGTTGCCGCCTTCCAGCCCGCAGAAACAGAGCAGTGGTTGTGGTCGTGTTCGTTGAGCTTGGCACCAGGGAACTGGCCACAACCACTGCTTCTTCTTCGGCCGGCCGGAAGGCCGCGCAAACAAGAAGCAGTGGCTGTGGTCATTTTCCCGCCCCGCAGGTATTTTCCGGGATTTCGTCTTCCCCCCGCTTCCCACACGCTCCCATCCTCTCCGGGGAGTCTGGAGTCCGGGGGCGCGCTCTCGCGGGCGCGCGGATGCGCTCGGACGCGCTCCGCGCTGGGCACCCGCGAGCCCAGAAGCGCCCCCCTGGCCTCCGCGGGCTGGCGGCCCCGGAGGCCCTGCCCGCGAGGCCGCGGGCACGGATCTGCTTCTCGCCCACGGGATGCGCGCTCCAGGGGGGGGGGGGTCAGGTGCACCGATCCCCGATCGCCGAGGCGGGCTGGGTGGCCCCGCCCCGCCCAGGAAGAGGTGCGGCGCCGCCGTCGAGAGCCCATCGCCGATGCAGAGCCCATCGCCGATGCATCGGCGATGCATGGCCGATGCCAGGTTCAAGTCGGGCCTGTCCCTCTATTGGCTATAGGAGGAGTATTCAAAAATAGTAGACAAAATAGTCAGGGGACGATTTGTTGATTACTTTTTGGCTATATTGGGGTATTTTCTGAGTATTTTTACCTTTAGCCCCAAATCCGCCTGTAGGGGGACACGCCCGACCTAATGCCAGGTCGGTTCTACCCCCCCCTCCTTAGGCTGGTGCCCCCCCCAATGTTAAGTCGGGCCGGTCTCTCTACAGGAGGAATATAAAATATAGTGAAAAATAGTTTGGGGACGATTTATCGATGATTTGTTATACCATTTGTGTTTTTTGACAATTCGTTATTTTTCTTACAAAATCCGCCTGTTGGGTGAATCGGCGACTCCCAGGAAAGCTGGGCAAGTAGGGGAAATGGGGGCGGGGGAAGACCAAAGCCCAGAAGCTGTGGGACAATGGGAGGAGTCCTGGGACCTGTGCCCATTCGCTTGTGTGTGTCCCTGGGCTCCCCTTCCACTCTCTCCAGCACCTGCTCCAGAACCTGTCCGAGGGGTCCACACGGACTTCTCTTGGGCCGGCGCCGGGCTCCTCTCTGGCGGCACCGCCCCCGGCTCTCGCTCCGGCCGCGCCCAAGTCGACTAGACGTAAGAGTGACTTTTCGCCGGAGTGACCTTTGGTGCGGGCCCACGGGGGTCCCCCTATCGCCGAGCGCGGTGCGACGGTAGCGTCTTGCGCGCTCGTGTTTGGTCCTTTCGCGGCCTTCGCAAAGCCGCGCACCAAAGGTCACTTTTGCCCAGGGTCACTCCTGCGTGTAGCCGACCAAGGGAGTTTGGGGGGTATTTTTTATTTTTCGTCCAGAATCCCCCTGTAGGAGGACAGGCCCGACTTCAGCATTTGGCGACCGCGCGCCAACTCCATGGGTCGCGAATCCATGTTCAAAAGCCCCCGAGTCCGGGCGTTTGCTCAAGCAGTGGCGAAGCGTCCTGGCTCGCCAAAAGCCCCACCAAACAATGTTCTAAGAATCTTTTTCGGCTTCAAGGACATGGTTTTATAACATTTCTGGCGGAGATAGTCTTGGTTTAACACATCGGGTTTATGTTCTAAGAACGCTGTTTTTGCTCTTAGACCGTTTTGGGGGTCTAAGAGCATCTCGTGGTATGACTCTAGAAATTCCGGGACGGCCGGTCCCTGCTCAATTCGCACTTCTCCCATCACGAGCGGACGATTCGCTGACCCCTCGGCCCCTCTCGGAAGGCGCAGGCCCGCCGCACGCCGGCCCGTGCCGTCGCGTGAGGCCCTTCTCCGCCTGCCCGGGCCGTCCGCCACCGATCCGGGCTCGTCCTTCGCACGACCTCGATCCGGGCCTGTGGAGGTCGATTATACGCGGCGCGAAAACGACCACGGCCACTGCGTTTCTTTTGTTGCCGCCTTCCAGCCCGCAGAAACAAAGCAGTGGCTGTGGTCACTTTCGTTGAGCTTCAGGGAAATGGCCACAACCAACGCTTCTTTTTCGGCCGGCCGGAAGGCGGCGCAAACAAGAAGCAGTGGCTGTGGTAATTTTCCGTCCCGCAGATTAATGGAGAGGAAGCGCGCCGACAAACAACTTCCAGATGTCTAGAAGATGGTTCAGGCATGTCTTCAGCAAAAGACATGCTCGAAACCTTTTTAGAACATGTTTTACACACTCTGTAACACATCTTTAGCTCAATGATAGGATTGTTAGAGTGTCCATTGTCATGGCATCCACAACTCTAGGCTCGTCCTTCGCACCTTTTTCCTCAAGCGCCGTTGAGCTTCCTGCATCTCTCGCAAGGGATAGTCAGGTACAGGACACTGGGCACATACACTTTTTTATATATATATATATAAATAAATAAAAGATGCATGCTTGTCATTCCTCATACGCTTTCAGGCCTCCTCTGAAAACGGACACAAACCAGAGGATATATAAACTTCGTTTGGTGGTGATGTTATGGAACACAAATCTGTCACCGAACACTTTGTGGGTCACGCTCTGGACGTACCGCTCGCGACCGAACGTCTGTTTCTGATAGAGAGCTCCTGTAACGAGCGAGCCGTCGACGGCCTCGAAAGCCGCGCTTGCATCCCGACGCCGACGCGCTGTTCCTCCGCTGCCGAACTGATATCTGCTCAGGTCGCGACCGAACTTCGTTGCTCCCGAAGTCCGTTACCAAACATTTCCGGTCGCGGATGATCTGGGGGCTGTTTGCCAGCTCCGGGAATGCCGACAAACAGTTCAGTATGAAAGGTTGGCCTTCGGTAGCAAATCGTGGGAGCCTGGTATACCGCCTTAGTTCAGTCTTTAGCGTCGGCTGGCGTAGATTAAAGTCGATTTAGCGTCGATTCGCATCGATTAGCGTCGATGTTCAAGAGCCGACAAGTTTCGGCGTCACCCCAACATACTCATACTGTGTGTGCGTCGCCCCCTCAGGGGCGACGCGCGCAGCGAGAAGTCTCAAATAATATGCGTCGTGGAGGGCGCTTCCTGGCCGCACCGCCTGGGAAACGATGTCCTGCAAGATGGGTATGCCATATGTTCGGTTCGGACGCGCGCCTCCAAGGAGGATGCACACACACATATATATATCTATACATATATATAATGTATTTAGTCTTAGTATGTCTCTGCGCGTCCCAAAGAGGGTATTGGAGGCTGCGGCTCCCACGAGCTGCCACCGGGGAAGGGCTCGAGCGCCTCGGAGGCCCACGGCCCAGCTGCGACCGCGGCGCTCTCCGCCGCCCTCGCCCTGCCCGGAAGGCGCTGCCGTCCGCTCGGATGCTCGTTCCTCGGGGGACTTCCGGGGGGGTGCTGGTGTTCCAGCCTGCTTGATCCTCGACCACCAGAAAGAGTTTCGAGCACCAGAGCAAAGTACCGAAACGCGGAGGTTCTCACGCGTCGGGCCCTGGGAGACACTCGCCCAACACTGTCTCGACACTGTCGACACTTTTCCGGGTGCTCGAAAGTATTTCTGCGATGTGGCCCTTAAGCACGATGGGAGCAACATAATCTTGGGAGCCATCTAACAGATCTGTTCGACTCTAGTTCGACCCCAGTTCGACTCGAGGTCGACTCAACTTCGGCTCAAGTTCGACTCAGGTTCGACTCAGGGTGGACTCAGGGTCGACTCGCATCGACGGACGTTCGACGCAGCTTCGACGCACGAGTGGAGCGAGTGTCTCCAGAGCCCCAGAATGAGCATCCAGCCTTTTCGCCACCCTCGCCCTTCCTGGAAGGCGCTGCCGTCGGCGCCTTTCCCCTGTTCTGCCACGCGGGCGCGCTTGCTGGTCCCCCTTTCCCGAGGAGGCTGCCAGCCCAGCAGACATTCTGGAGCAGGATGCCCTGGAGTACACCGGCGTCCATTGCGCGTGGACGCCGTGGTGCACAGAGGGGGCGTGGTCGGCGGAGGCGGACGGCGAGGAGGCCTGCAGCCGCAGTCCCTCTCCCGCCCACCAAACCACCCCAACCCAACCCGAAGGCCCCGAACATCTGTGGAACCCGTACCCCCCTCCCAACCCGAAATTCGGGTCTTTTGGTGGTTGGGTTGAGGCGGTCTGGCAGGTGGTCAATCCCGCCTGTTTGGTGCTTTTCTACGTGTCTTGCTCTCCCGTTCCCGATGCCAGTGGCCTGCATCAAGTGCGGCCTCTTGGGGCCCGTCTCGGCCCCCAGGATGCTCAAGAGCGAGCGAAAGTCTGGTCCCGCTGGAGGGGTCGGGGGTTCCCAGGGCAAAATATGAGCACATCGCGACGCCCAGGTCCTTAGATCCTGGGATCGCGCATTAGTAAGTGGTTTGGCGATTAGGCGAAGAAGACATAACGGCAAACATAAACTTTTGGCCCCCCCCTCAGCGCTGGAGGCGCGCGCTCCGCGCGCCAGGGAGGGGGGTCCAGCGCAAATCCAAGAAATCCGCGCGGAGCGCCGAAAGTGTATGTTTGATGCAGTTGTTCTTCTAAGCGTTGACCAAGCCGATTGACGACAGTCTGTGAGTGCGTTGCAGCGCAACGTTCAGTGTGTAGGTGTTTGTTAGCTTTTCCAACAACGCTGCGAAGCCATCTCATCATCACGAGTTTCTATGCAAGAGCGAGGGAGCATACTGCAACTTCGCATTCGTTGCAGATTACAAACTGATAATCCTCGAACTGGTGATTGTGGTGTCGCCTTTCCCGCGTACTAGGTTCGTGGTGTTTTGTTGCCCCCCCGAGGAGCCCGCGGCGGCCTGGTGCGCTTGGATGGACGGCCGCCCGGGGAGCCTCAGAATTCGGTCGCGGTCGGCGGCGCGCTTCCAGGGGAGTAGGCCGGAGGAGGAGACCGACATGGGCTTGCCAATTGGCATCCCGGAATGCTCCACGATTTCGGCGGCCAACGGCGCAACGTGTGGGCGACGCCACAGAATTGAGTCGTCTGCGCCGCCACTTGTGCGTAAGCTTCCCGCGCAAGGGAGCGCGTTGGTGCCCCCGTCTCCAACTTGGCGGGCCGCGCTGGCGGCCCGCGCAAGCCGCCGCTTAAGGTCGCTACAGTCGGCCCTGATTGGTAGGTCGACCGGGAGGGTCTTGCGTCCTCTCGCGTGTCCTGTCCAATCAACCTCGACTGTATGTGTTTCGCGTGAGACCTGTTTTTGATCGTCGCTCAACTGACATCCTGGATTGCTCTACGATTTGGGCGGCCAGCAGCGCAACATATATGGCACATGTCGCCACCAGGTGGACGGCCCCCTTAGGGAATCCCAGAACGGGGTCGCGGCCGGCTTCGCGCTTCGATGGGGGGCTGGAGTGATCAGGGGCAACTCAAGCAGTAGCGAAGCGTCCTGGCTCGCCAATAGGCCTACCGAAGAATGCTATCATATCCTTTCGTGGTTTGCACGAAATGTTCTTACAACATTTTTGGCTGAGTCTGTCTTGTTTTAAGACATCGGGTTAATGTTTTAATCACATTGTTTTTTGTTCTGAGAACATTATTGGGGTTCTAAGAACATCTCGTGGTAGGCCTTAGGAATGCCGGGACGGTCGGTTCCTGCTCAAAATGATCAGGGGCAACGGGGGCGGAGGGGGGTCGGGCAGAGGAGGAGCAGGTGCCGATATACTGCTATCCCTCCGTCGCCGCCACGGCTGGAGTCGCCTCGGAATCCCGGTCCGGACTCGCGCCCCAGGAGGGGCCCGTGGAGCAGCGGCACGGGCATGGTTCAGTTCTGCTCTCGTTCCCTCCGGGGGGGGGGATGTCACGTTTGTGGGCTTTGTCCGGAGAGGGGCCAGTCGAGGTATCTCCGGCCCTTCCTGGCGTTTTTCGTCCTTCTGTCTCTGCCGTGTTCTGCCTTCGGAGACCTCGTGTCGCGACAGCTGCTCCTGCTCCCTCGGGGGTGGGCTCCGGGGGGACGGCACCGGTCGACCCGCCGTCGCCCGTGGATCGCGGGTGGGGGCCCGGCAGCCCGCCGACGCCCAGGCACGTGCGCCGTCGCTGTCGGGGGCCGTCTCCGATCTGTCTCAAGAGGAGAAGGAACGCAGGCACGATTCATCGCCGACTCCCTGGGAGAGATGGGGAACTATGGGGAGGGGGGGAGAACACGAATCTCCAAGACATGTGGGAAACTTTGGTGTGTACTTATTTGTGTGTCCTTAGGCCCCTTGAGATCTGTCTGCGATGCGTCGCCGATTCCAGCTCGGCGATGCGCCCCCCCTCGCCTAGGCTGGTGCCCCCCCCCTCAGCGTTCCCCCCCTGAGGGGTCCCGACCCCCTCCCCGTCCCAGATGGCAGTCGGCCTTAATCAGTAGGTCGAACCTGCCAAGTCAAGGGTAACCTGGTGTCCTGTCGTTGGAGACCCGTGCCTTCTGCATTCCTATGTCGGGCCGGACGAGAGGGGGGGCTTTGGGAAAGGGGGGGTTACGAAATCTGCTGCATGCGGCTGGTTTCGGCCCCACCGAGGGGCCCATTCCTCGATACATGGCCGCCTCCCGGCGCCGGGAGGCGCCAGGAACATCAGCCGCGTGAGCTGATTCTCAGACCCCCCCTTTGCTATCCCCCCCTTTCGCCCGGCCCGACCACGGCAGTGTGGCCGTCGGAAGGGTCTCGTGTCCTCTCTCGCGTGCCCTCTCCGATCGAGCCCGACGGTGGTGTCCGAAAGGCCCCGGGGCAGGGGCCGAGGCCGAGGACGACCGCGCGCGCGCTCGCGGGTTCGCTCGCCCGCGCCCTCGAGAAGCCCACCTTTCTCGTCGGAGGGCGTCACCCTCCAGCAGTGGCGACGTGTCCTGGCTCGCCCACAGGCCTACCAAACAGTGTTCTGAGAACCTGTTGTGGCTTGCACGAGATGTTCTCGGAGCAGTTCTGACTGGGATGGCCTCGTTGAACACATCGGGCTCATGTTCTAAGAACATTGTTTTGTTCATCGAACATTTTTGGGATCTAAGAAGATATCGTGGTAGGACTAGGAATGCCGGGACGGTCGGTCCCTGCTCAACACCCTCCGCGACCCACTTGAGCGACGCAGACAAACGGGGTCGACCGCGCCGACATTCGCGCGTCAGCTGTCCGCTGGAGTAAGGTCGCGTGGAAGCGCTCCCGTGTTCAAGGTGCCTCGTCGCGCTGGCTACCCTTGTGAGCCACCGTATATATGTATGTAGACATCTATATATATGTACACATATACGGTCGCTGTGCCATCTCGTGTAAGACCATTCTTTTCGTCGCTCGCTTGGCGCACCGCCGATGCAGGGCCGTCGTCCTCTTGCCCCCTATGAGACCATTGCCTCCCAGGGACTTCTTGCTGCATTGCTTTCAGCCCAGGCGTTTTCTCGGCATCTCGGCCTGTGGGGGGCGTCCTTGGGCCTGTGTGGAAAACACGTTCGGGACGAAGAAATGCTGGCTCTGCGGAAGGGCTCGAGCGTCTTGGTGCCCACGGACTCGGAAAAACAATCCATTCGAGGGGAGGTGGAGGGAGGGAAGAAGGAGGAGAGGGGGTGGAGGGAGGAGGAGGAGGAGGAGGAGCGTGAGGATTTCCCCCTCGGGGGCACATGGCATCTCCGAGCTGTTCGGCGGGCTCCGTGGCTCCCAGCATTTCGAGCTGGAGGCCTGGTGTTTGGGGGGCGTGGGATCCCCTGACCTTGCCGCAGACGACGAGCGGGCCGATCGGCAGGAGCGCGCGCCGCTGTCCCCTGCCTCGCCCTCGACCGTGCCCTCGTCCCTGCCCGCTCCCCTGGCTCTCGGCGGGTCGGCGGTGGGCCGCAGGCGGGGGTGCGCGGGGTCTTGCCAAGAAAGTGATGGTCCTGCTTGGACTCAAGTTCGCTTCAAGGTCGACTCAAGTCGACGCACGTTCGACGCAGCACCGACGCATGAGTGGAGCGAGTGTGTCCAGAAGGGTCACCAAACGAAGCACATAACACTCGTGGTGCTCCTGCTTGGAGTCAATGCTGTTCCCCTTGACTTCCGTGACCGTTTCCACGGTGCCGTCCGCATCCCGCGGCCGCGGTGCCCTCGGTGTCGGAGCCGCCGTCGTACATCTTGCTGCTGCTCGTGCCTAGCTGCATCTCGCTCTGCTGCTTGTTGGAGCCCTCGTCGTCCTCATTGGTCCTGTCCACGGCGCCGTCCGTGCCCACTAACGTTCCACGATTGCCGTCCACCGCGGCTGCCAAGCCCTTGGTGTCGCAGTCGCCGCCGTAGGTCATGTTGGTGACGTGGCAGCTGAAGCCTGGGAACAGTCAATCCTGATTGTGCGTGCGAGTGGAGCCCACGTTGTGTTCCTCATCGGTGCGCGCCACCTTTGTGAAGCTCGTCAATTCTACATGGCCGTGGCCCGCGCTGACAGTTGCCTCGACTCCGTCGACGTCTAAGGCGATGCAGTGTTCGTTCTCGCCGTCGGCTGCCACGCCTGTGCCGTTGAGGGAGTCCCCGTGCCGTGCCGGCACTCCTCGCCCTGGTTCCTCGTGGCAGCGCGGGCACCCCTGCGATGGCGCCTGCGCCGACCTCATCGCTGTGTGCGCTGCGGATTGGCCTGGGTAGCCTTTCACTGCCGCCGCTCCTGCACCTAGCGCCTCGTGCTCGCCGACGCTTCGTCGGGCATGGGCTGTGCCAGAAACGGCGGTCCGGTCCGCCTGCCCTGCGCGCCTGCCGCGGTGCGCCGACGCAGCGCTGGGGCGCGTGCCTCCTCGCGCGGCGGCCGCTCCTCCTCGCATTTTCCCTTCTACGGCCGCAGTCGTGCAGTGCGCCGCCACCGCCGCTGCAGGCGCTGGCTGCCGCCTGGCGGTCCACTCCGCGGGCAGCGACGACAGCAGCACGCCCAGCCGCCGCCGACCCTCCTTGGCCGCCTGGGCGACCATCGCGGGCGCAGCCATCGCACGCCGCCGCGCCATCGAGCAGGCGGCGCAGGCAGGGATCTCTTGAGCCAGCGTGGCAGGAGGAGGAGGACGAGGGGGAGGAGGAGGAGGAGGAGGGGGATGAGGACGAGGAGATCCTTTCTTTGTGTCAGAACCCTTGATGTCTTCGGGCCTCTCCGATCAGCTCAGGCTCGCCGGCAGGCTTCTGGTGAGCGCCAAGTCTCAAACGGTTGCCTGAGACCCAAGCGTTTGGTCTGAATTCCAATCGAATATCTAAAGAATTTGATGATGATGATACTGCTGCTGCTGCTGCTGCTGCTGATGATGATGATGATGATGATGATGATGATGATGATGATGACCATGCTGATGAAGCTGATGATGTCGATGACGATGATGCTGATACTGTTGCTGACGACGACAGTGATGATGATGATGATGATCATGCTGCTGACGACGACGACGATGATGCTGCGGATGACGAATATGTTGATGATGCTGATGCAGTTGCTGCTGATGATGATGATGCTGATGCTGACGCTGCTGGTGATGATGACGAGGCTGATGATAAGCATGCTGCATATGCTGATGATGGTGATGCTTTCGATTATGATTATGCTGATGATGATGACGATGGCGACGGCGAGGATGGCGATGCCGATGACGATGCCGATGACGATGATGATGCTTCTGATGCTGATGTTGAGGTTGATGCTGATTTTGACGCTGATGTTGATACTTAGATGTTGCTGCTGATGATGATGCTGATGCTAGTGATGGTGCTTTTGATGGTGATGGGTATGACGACGGTTGTAATGATGATGTTGATGTTGCTGATGATGATGATGATGATGATGATGATGGTGTGTATGCGGATCATGATGATGATGATGATGATGATGATGATGATGGTGATGGTGACGATGATGCTGATGACTGTGATGGTGATGGTGACGCTGATGGTGCTGGTGATGGCGATGCTGCTGATGATGATGATGCTGATTTTGCTGATGATGTTGCTGATGATGCTGCTGATGATGATGTTGCTGATGTCGATGATGATGATGATGATGATGATGATGACGACGACGACGTTGATGATGATGATGATGGTGATGATAAGTGTGCCGTTTATGCTGATGCTGATGATGATGCTGATGCTGCTGCTGATGATACTGCGGCTGACGATGATGATGATGATGATGATGATGATGATGATGTTGATGAATATGCTGATGATAATGGTGTTGCTGATGATGATGATGATGATGATGATGATGATGATGATGACGCTGATGCAGTTGCTGCTGCTGATGATGATGATGCTGATGATGATGGTGATGATGGTGGTGGTGGTGGTGATAACGATGATGATGTTGCTGATGTTGATGGTGGTGAAGATGAAGACGAGGATGATGAGGAGGAAGAGGCGGAGGAGGATGAGGGCTTGGATGAGTTTGAGGAGGAGGAGCAATGAGCAATGAGTTGTTGCTCGACCTCATTCCAATACCAACTTGGTAAGAACTCTGCGCAACCCGACTTAGTGGTATGCGGGTTAACTGTGGAAAAGTCGCGGGGACCCGCCGGCGGGACTGGCACCGCCCCCTGGGCGCAGCTTGACGGCCTCGCCAAAACGCGCACCGGGTCCGGTGTGCGGGGTCGGACTTTGAGGTGAGGGCCCGGATGATTTTGGTACCCGCAGGCAGCAGCATGGGCGAGGAGGTCTCGGATCCTGGGGCTGACGTCGCCACACGCCGCCAGACCCCACCGACCTTGTCTTGGGAGCTAGGTTTAAGTCGGGTATGTCCCTCTACAGGATGGATCTTCAAATAGTTGAAACGCAGTACAGGGACGATTTCCCGATTTATTTTCGAATCTTAGTAGATTTTTTAATATTCCCCCTAAAACCCCTTGTAGGAGGACAAGCCCGACCTGAATCTAGGTTGAACCCCCATCCCCCCCCCTTGCCCCCTCCTGTCGCTGTCGCTGTCGCTGTCGGTCGTGGGCGAAAAGCACTTCCTCATCCGCGGCCGCGTTGACCGGGCCCCTTTGCCGCGGCCCCGCAGACGCGGGACTGAAGCAGTGGCGAAGCGTCTTGGCTCGCCTATAGTCCCACCAAACAATGTTCTAAGAACGTTTTGTGGTTTCAACGACATGTTATTAGAACATATCTGGCGGAGTCTGTCTTGTTTTATCACATCGGGTTTACGGTCTAAGAACGCTGTTTTGTTCTTGGAACATTTTCGGGTTCTAGGAACATCTCGTAGTAGGACTATAGGAGTGCCGGGGCGGTCGGTCCCTGCTCAAGGGACGTTTTTTCGCGAAGGGACGTATCCGTGCGACCGTGTATCCGCAGGATGGCGCGCCCCGGAATCCAGACCGCGAGGACGCGCTTCGCCGCTCGTGAGCCAGCATCGGTGTCACTTTCCCTGCGCTCATCTTCTGTTTCTCTCCTCGCATCACTCCCGTCCTGGTCGATCCGACGGGAGGGGAGATCATCGAGAGCAAAAGAACCCCTAACCTTGAAGAGCACGATGAAGACGTGGCCTCACTTAGTTCCCCGCCTTTGCACTAGGGATAATACATCTGGGCGGTTTGGTCTGATACATCGGCAGAAAAGACCCCCATCCCTGATGTTTGTGGCCCTCCTACCTTAGGTCCCCTCCCAAAGGGTAAGGGGTATCTTTTTGTTTATCAGGAGAGGGGTGCCCATACGTTCACCGGCCGGAGCAAGGCAGAGCGGAGGCTCTTCGCTAAGGTCGTTCCCGGGAGGCCATTTTGCGGGCCTTGGTGCCGTCAGCGATCGGGGGCGAAAGCCCAGTTCCCTGGGAGGGGTGGGAGGACAGCTGATGGGCCCGCGGCCCGCGTGATGAGCCAACTGTAGTGTCTGTGCAAGCATTCACCGAGCGCGTTCCACTTCTCGCACAGTGCCTACTCACAAGCGTCCGAAAAAGCTCATGTCTGCATCGACATAAAGTATCGTAAATCCCCCATGGCGGATCCAGGCCATTTGCGAGTAGTTACTTTGCGACAAGTGGAACGCGCTTGTCTAAGCATAATTTCAGGCGCGTGTATTAGCGACATGTCTCGTTTCCATACAACATCGACGCGCTTCGTCGCCAAGTCAGGTGGCACTGGCCTCATATTTCGGGGGGCGTACTTTCCGATCCAAGCGCCAGATCCACGGATCCGTAATCCAAGTTAGCGTCTGGCCGAAATCACGATGTTGGAGGTCTGGGGGGCATGACATCAGCAAGGGGAGAGGCGGACAGGCAAAGGGGAAAAGTGACGCAGCAGGGGGCGGCGTCGGGGACAGGCAGCTGCGGATGCGGCGGAGGAGGAGGAGGAGGCGAGGGGAACGCGAAGGATGCTGCTGCTGATGATGCTGATGCTGATGCTGCTGCTGCTGCTGCTGCTGATGATGATGATGATGATGATGATGATGATGATGCAGATGCTGCTGCTGCTGATGATGATGATGATGACGATGACGATGACGATGACGATGATGATGATGATGCTGATGATGATGATGATGATGATGATGAGGATGATGAGGATGATGAGGATGATGCTGCCGCTGATGATGCTGATGCTAATGCTGATGCTGCTGATGATGATGATGATGAGGAGGAGGAGGAGGAGGAGGAGGAGGCAGAGGAAGGATGAGGACGGAGGACGGCGGAGGACACAGCACGAAGGACCAGGGAGCAGGACGGATGAGGAGGGTGAGGAAGACAAGGAGGAGGACATCGCTCTCCCCTTGTACAGGATGATGAGGATGAGGAGGAGGAGGAGGTGGAGGAGGAAGATGAAGAGGAGGAGAAGGAAGAGGAGGAGGAGGAGGAGGAGGAGGAGGAGGAGGAGGAGGAGGAGGAAGAGGAGGAAGAAGGGGTCTCGGGATGCCCTCGGATTCCCTTGAGGCCTCTGGAGGCGTTCCCAGAGCCCTCCAGAAACGCCACAGCGTTGTGGACCTCTATCCTTTGACCTTTCGATCCTTGCGCCTCGGCGCCGACCTCCAACGAAACCCGATCTCCTCCTCCTCCCGCTCCTCCTCCTCCTCCTCCTCTTTCTCCTTCGATCCTTCGACCCTTCCAACCCCGACCTTGGATCCTGCAGAGCCTCGATCCCTGGAGGGTGGGCCACGGGATGTCGACGCGCCGCGCCCCCTTCAGCGCCCCCGAGGGCGCCCCCTCGGGGCGGCGCCGTGCGGACCCGCAGAAGGCGTGGGACTGGCCCGGAGCGCAGGAGCCCGCAGCCCAGTGTTAAGTCGGGCGTGTCCCTCTACAGGAGGAGTGGTCCCAAACAATCCAAACACATTTTTTGTATTATGTATATACATATATGTATGCACGTATGCACACACTTCGACTACATTTGAATATGTTGCGGCCAATTTGAATTGTTCTTTCAAAGTCCGCCTGTAGGAGGACATGCTTGACCGAAGCCTAGGTACACGGATGCAGGTATCCGCCTCCTTTTTTGTGCTAGCCTCCTTTCCTTCACCTCTCCTCAAGCGAGAGAGAGCGCGCGCGCTTGCCGCGCCAGGTGCCTGCTACACGGAGGATACTAATCGCCGATACATCGCCGGGTGCGCATCCTTTGCCGATCTATCGGCGATGCATCGCAAGAAAAAGGCGAGGGTGCGGGAAGCCAGCCTGCGTCTCTCTCATCAGCGTCTTCGCTCCTCCAGCGCCTTACGGGCGGGGCCCGAGCAGGGGAGGGGGGAGAGGCAAACCTGTCCCCGAAGGATAAGAATGAAGTTGGAACAGAAATGATCATTCAAACCGTCTGCGCCCACGGGGCTGGTGGGATTTCGCCCACCTTTCGGAGCCAAGAAAAACATTTCGGGACGTTTTCGGAGCGCCTTCGGGGCGCCCGAGGACCCGGGGCCTTTCTCGTTGCGAACAAAATGCGAAGGTCGGTTGTTGGTCCATATGCGACCCTCTGCGGGAGCTCGCTGGGGTTCGGGGCTGTGGAAAAAACGGCCCAGGATAGAAAACAGGTCCTAGGCATGGGTCGAGACCTCCAGGCGTGTCTGAGCGATCGGAATTTGTCCAGAAAAATGGAAGTGGCTACCGGCAGCCTTTCTTGCCCATGTCGAGCAGGGGCTGCTATGTGGGAAGTAGCATGGCAAAGACTTTACATGGTTTTTGCCGGTGGTGCTCGTGACCTCTAGGGCGCCTCTCATGGGTCTATTAGGCATCTCCAGTGGCTGTCGGGGCGCCTTTGATGGTATACTGTGATCATTTTGGCCCACAAGCGCTCTTGGGGCGAACGCTTGTACACATTCTTGACATCCAGCGCAGTTGTTTTTCACCAGTTGGACACCCGGCCAATGTGGTCAAAGCCCCATCGTGATTATCACAGTCAGTACTTCGTACGCGTAAGTCGAATTAGCTTGAGACCGTCCATTATTCGCCTGCGGCACGATGGGCGCATCTTGCGGTCCTACGGTCCCCAAGGCATACGTAGTCCAATAATGGTACATGTGGCAGGGCGGCAAATTTTCAATCGGGGCGTGGTTTCGTCTGATCTCACCTTGACCTTTCAGAGTGCAGACGACGACACGTTCGAGGACGGCTACCTTTAGAAATCAATGGCTCGCATCGGCACAGTGCACATGTTCTGGTTTGAAATCGTCAGGGCTAGTCGTGAATGTTTGGGCGGCGGTTTTCTGTGACATCGTCATGTTTCGCCATGTAGTGTGGCCGAATATAGAGTATCACCTGCGTAAAGATCAGCGGCCGTTTGTTTACATTTTCTTGTATTCGCAACGCGCTGGCTAGCAATGGGATATCCTGCGTTACCATCATTCGTGATGTACTTCAAGGTTTTTCTCGATAAAATCATTGGTGATTGCGTCGGTACAGTTTCAGTTTTGATGGTTTGGAAAACATTTCTATGTATTTAGCGAGCGTTGCGAACGATCTCGATCGTTTTTCTGTGCGCCACGAAGCACCTCGATGTTTGGTCGTATGTGCAATGGAACATATTGAATGGTTCGTGCGTGCGCCATGGAACTCCACACTTTCCCCCCCGAAATCCTTCGATTGGTCATGCAACAAGTCGGAGTGTTTCACTCTTGCTTGCGTAATGCTGGTTTTTTGGTCAGATTGTTGTACCCCTCGCGTTGCCTCCGGCCGTCCCCAAAAACGGTTGCTCCGCTCGCGCTGCCGCAAGGTCGTCGATCATCACGAAAAGTCATATCATGCACACGGTCTTCTGCGAAGAGGCCCCCTGGGCTAGGAGAGGACGGATGACATGCATCACGCCAGTCTGGTTGTTATGCAGCAGGCTTGTTCACATTGTTTCAGTAACACATCATCAACCGACATCCTTGGGAAAACGCGAAAGAAACAGGACGATGTTTCTACGCTGAGCCAGATGACGTCTGCTTTCGCATAGGTAATGCGTCTGACAATGGGAGCGTAAGTACAGACGAGATTTTGAACGACTCGCAAGTATCAGCCTCCCAAGGACCAATGCCGGCAATTTCTGCCACATTTCTGCTCCCGATGAAGGAACCAGTGGCTCATCGGGACGATTGAAATGGGTACGGAAAGACTGGTATTGTTCTTCGAAGACAAGGAACCGCCTGCCCGACAGCGGCCGCTTTCGGTTTTGGACAACGTTTGTTGTTGGGCGTTCTACCATTTTTCCGTGCCCATTTCGGGCGTTCAGGATTCAGAGTTGATTTCGGACGCTGAACGAGGGCCCCAGCGATGGTGTGATCGCGGGCCACGGGAATCTTCAATCTCCCAGTCAATGCCAGGGGGGCTGAACAACAGTAGGATCGCGACCGGAGAAAAGGGCGACCGTGCGGTGGCGCACCCTGGAAATGGGTGGACACCCACGGGCGTATGTCACCGCATATGGGGCCGACTTCCCGGCCAGCGTCGTCGATCCGAATCTGCGTGGTGGAGAAAATCACGACGACGTGGGGATAGAGGATCGGCTCCAATTCGTTCGTTTCCACGACGATTCCGGGCCCTGCGTGAAAACTATGATGACGTAGGGATCGACAGGCGGCGTTTCGGCCAAAACCGTGACGATCTACTTGAAGGCGATGGTTTTGACCCGCAGCGCGTTTTGGGCCCGCCACTCGCGGAAGGGGTCCATGGGGGCAGCGAAGAACCATCGAGAGGCTACTCCAGATGCTCCGCCAAAGGAGCTGTCCGATTTAGTCGAATGTGGTCAGCCCCTCACCATTGACGGCGCAGTGAGCAGTGATCCGAGGGAAAGATCTTAGCATTCGAGGCGAGACTGAGGATTTCGTGAGCGCGGCAAAGAGACGCCGGCCAGTGCCGTCGCTCAGACGCCAGAATTCGAGGACGATCGCCCCTCGGCCACTCGCGCTCAGCCATGGTGCGGCGAAGAGCCTAGGAAAGATGTTCTGGGCGCCCCTGTCAGAATTGTACGGCGGAAAAATGAATTTGTCGAGCACTTCGGGGAAAAGCGCGGAACAGTTCCTGTCGTCCCGAGCCAGCAGCGACGGGGCGACGCTAAATGTAGCAGGTCGAGACCCTGTGGGTCCGTCAGGTCAAGTTTCTCAGACGCCAGTCTGTGCAGCATGCCTGCTGGCAGTCCCCGTCCGACGAGGGGGCGCGGCAAAGTCGCGATGCCTGGGTCGGTCAGGAAGTTGCGCCGGGCCCGCGCGTTGGCGGCGTTCGCGCCAGCGTCGGGGCTGCAGTGTTCATTTGTTCGTGCGATGGGCGCGTCCCCCTGGCACATCGCCACTGCGCTGCCTTCCCGAACTCGAAATGACAGTCGCCCAACAAAAGGGGGCCCTGGCCTCTGTTCCGAGGGTGGAAGGTCTAGCGCTGTGGTAGCCGAAAAAATTCGAATGCGAGTCGGGCTAGAAGTTGCTGGAAGCAGGGCCCGGGCAAACGCCGCGCAAGCCCGGGTCGGGGCCGGCAGGGCTCGCAGGGCGAAGCGCTAGTTCGAGCTGCATCGGCGCTGCGTCCGCCGGCGGCATGTGTGAAGCCGCGCAGGCCGCCCGACTAGTCGACGTCGATCATGTCAGAACGGAGCCCGAGGAGGCGATCTGGATCTGGGGGCGCGAGGCCCGAGCCGCGAAGCTCGAGGCCGGGGATGCGTCTCAGATTCCGCCGAGCGAAGTGAGCGCCGCGCGGCGGGGCGAGCGCGCAACGGATGGCGCCGGCAAGGGGCGGATCGCCAATCTGCGGGGTCAAGTGTCTTTGGCGGAATGCGCGTGCTGCGCCGGTGAAGTCGCGGCGACGTCGACCGTTGCGCGGCGCCATCTTGGGGCGGAAGGTGCAGCGTCGACCGCCGACGGCATTGCCGTTCTTTGCCGTTTGCGCCCGCGGGCCCGATGCGCCGCACGCCGCCCCCGCGACAGACCGCGCCGTGCAGGCCGCTTCAGCCGCGGGCCAGACCTGCTCCGGCAAGAAGGTTGATGCGGGACCGGCGACGGCCCGTCGGGTCGAGGGGGGCGGAGGGGGGGCGTCGCTGGAAAGACGGGGGGTCATCGGCGCCGCAGGCCCGAGCAAGAGGCGCGCGCAGCAGCGGCAATTGCATTGAGAATGGGGCTGATGTGGGGTCGCGAGTGGGAGCCTTCGAGGGGGGGCCTCGCGCGATGGGGGGCGACTTCAAGCCCGCGGGGGCGCGTCCGCGGCGGTCGGGCGCGCCGGGGGGGCGGCGGAGATGCGTTCGGGATGCGTGAGGAACGAGACGAGGGGCGAGTCTCGCCCGCAGATGAGGTTTGCCGACGAAAAGCCACGGGCAGTGAAGCCTTATTTTCGCCCCCTGAAGGAAGAAGGGGGGCCCTTGCTTGCTGGGCAGAAGCCGCTGGGCCCGAGGCGTTCATGTCCGCGCAGCCTGGGGTTGCTCTGTTCGAAGAACAAGATAGAGACGCGTGTTGGCCGTCCTCGGGGGCGGGCGAGGCCGCCGCGAAGCCCGGTGCAGCCCCGCGAACGTGGCGGGGGGCGGCAGGCCAGGATGGGGCCCCCGACCCAGGTCGCAGCGACGGGGGGGGGGGGCGGCGATCTCTTTGATTCTTTCCAAGTTTTCAAGCCATTGGTCGGCCCGCGCAGCTCGGAGTGGTCGCGGCGCCAGAGAAATCCGGGGCCAGGTTGGCCCGGTGGACATCCTGGAGGCTCGGGGGTTGTCTCGAGCGGCCCCGGAGGGGGCCCGGCCCTCCCGGCGGAAATTGGCGTCCCCGACGCCGCCTCGTTTGCCCGGTGGTCGCGGGCAGCGCGCCGACTCGTGGCCGCTGTCGCTTCGGCGCATGAGATCGATGGGGCTTTGAAATATTTACAGCGGGCGCTGGGCGCCAGCGTTCCCATGGATGCCCTGGGGAATCCTGGCGGTCTCTATGCTCTGGCATTTGCGATTGCGTCTGATCTGGCCGCAAAAGGGAAACGCTCCCAAGGACTCAGACATCGACGGGGGAGACGATGAGACAGCCCTTGGCCGACGCTGGCAGACTAGATGAGACCTGCCACCGGGAAGAGAAGCGTATTCTTTGTGGAAGAGAGATGGCGCGGACATCGCGCAGTGCGTCTCAGCGAGATCTGACCACAAGTCTGCGATTCTCGTTGCGTGGCCTCTTTGCGCGTTAGATAGTCGGGTCGAAGGGCGAGGCCGGCGCAGAGTTAGTTGACGAGTTTCTTCTGCAATTTGAGGGGCGCGTTGAGCTCGGTGCCAGGGCCTCTGAGAGGATTGCGCGGCCAGCTCTTCGAACGCGCTCTTTTAACTGTGCATGAGATGATTGTTAAATCATCGGTCGGTCAAGCTCGCGCATCTGAGTGTCGAAGACCTGCGATTGGGTCGACAAGAACAGTGGCGTGTTGATGGAACGGAGACGCCAGCGGGGCGATTGGGGCGTGGTGCAGTCCGATATTCGTGACAGTCTCAACAGGGGCCAGTCCAGCGCCGCGAAGAAAGGCTTTGCAAACTTGCCCACGCGTGGCAGGGCACCCGCGGGGCGCGTCGTTCGCCGAGACCTTGCGGCAGAATGCAGCGGGGCAGGGAATGGTTGCCCCATCGAGCGCGATTTTTTTTTTTCGAGCGACGCGGCGCGCCTCGTGCCGAAGGGGGGTGGGGCAGAGGCCCGAAAACCGCTCGGGCCCCGGGTGGCGGGGGCATGTCAGTGGGGCGCCTTCCAGGCTTTATATGGGCTCCACTGCGTCTTGGGGGGATGGGAAAACCGCCCCGCGGTGGGCCCGCGGCTGGGGGCCGCGCGACAAGGCTCGGAGCTTGATAGACGGGGGTCGATGCAAACGGGGGTCAGCCAGGGCGCCGGATCCCGCGGGATCCTGCAAGGACCCCTTCTGGCTGACCCGGGTTAGCGAGCCGCTCGTTGCCGCGAGGCGGCCGCTCATGTTGGCTGACCTAGGTTTGCGAAGCCCTGCGTTGCAGTTTTCTCCTGCATTGCAGTTTGTTGGTTTCTTGCCGGCCCGGGTCTTATTGGCCCGGGTTGGGGGGTCCCCGAGAGGCGATGCGCGGCGGGAAAGGGGCGCCGTGACTTGGTGGGCCCAGAGGAGCTGGCTCGAGGCTAGTGGGGTGGGGGGTGGGGGGAAGTTGCTCGCTTCGGGCGAACCTACAGCGCGAAAATTCCGTGGTCCAGGGGGGGAGGCAAGAGAGAGAGCGTCGCCGAGAGCGCCCCGCCAGCCGAGAACGGCGTCCCCGGAGGGCTTGGGGTGTGTGCCGCGGGGGAAGGGGCAGGAACCACAACGATAAGACGTGTTGGCGCAACGTGTGGGGCGCGGCGTGACCGCGCGGTGAAAAGTGTTTTTTTCGTGCCTCCACCCCCGGTCGCCCCTGGTAGTTGCGCGCGGCTTCGGGGGGTTTCAACGAGTGGTTGCGCTGATCGGAGAGGACGCGCATGTTCAATGTGTGATGTGTCGGATCAGGTCGGAAACCGGATGCGTTTCCCGATTAAGCCGGGGGCGCTGCTGCGCCCGTGGGAGGCGCGAAGAAGGGCGTCCCATCGTTGTGGGCGCTGTCCCCGCGTTCCCGTGGCCTCGGTTGGGTCAGGTGGTGGTGTGATTGGCAGTAGTTCCATCTCGGCAGCTGACGCCCGTGCGTTGTCTGCCAGTGGAGGGCGCCGGAAGAACGGTCGATCGCTGCGCGGAATCGTCGGGGCCCTCGCTCACGGGCAGACCGCGGAGAAGATTGTGGACCCGACTTCCGACAAGTCCATAATCGCCCATGGTTGGGGCGGATATCGGAAGCATTCGAGTCGGGTAATCTGAGCGAATCCCGGCCGCGCCTCCGGGCGCTCGTCGGGCACATGCTGGCGGGAACTGCCCATTCGGTGCCATCGGCAACTGCGGATGAAGATGGGCGGGTTTTATTTGCCTCTGGAAAGCAAGCGGCGGCCACGGAGCCGACGCTCGCGAATCGCTGGGCATCCCCTCCAATGCGGCTGTCCACGATTGGATGCGGTGTCTCGTTTTGCCTTCGGCCGTCCAGACCGACTCGACTTGGCCAGTCGTCTTGCTTTCTTCGTCGTGTGCCCTGTGCGTGAAAGCGACTGGCAGCACAGCCTCGGCACGGTTAGGTAGTCCGTCCGTCGCGGCCGATTTCAGATCCCCGTGTGGATGTGGAAGCCTTTGTTGAAGGTTTTCGGGCCGATGGCACACAGGTGCACAGGGCTTCTCGCTCTCGGTGCCGTTGCAGTCGCTGCTGCCGCTCCGCTCCCCTGAGTGCCGTCTGTGGCGCACGTTGGCACACTGCTGTACACAGGTGCCGCTGCGCACGCGGCAGTCGTAATCATTGTCCTATTCGCTGTCGTCGTTGAAATCGTCGTCGTCGTATGTCCTATTCGTCGACGTCGTGTTCGACGGCTTCGGGCAACGCTCGCGTGCCCCCCAAAACTTTCTGAAGCCACCAGTGGTTTGTGGAATGGTGTTGGCTCCGTACCTAACGTCTTCGTCGCAGTGGGCTCTTCGATGGCGTGACAAAGGTGCGGTGGCATGGCGAGTTTACAGTGGAATGCGCAGGTTCTGTGGTTCACATAAGCACAACCATGCGCCATGCGCTGTGGTGTACACGCGCGATGTAGTGCGCCCAAGAGTTGCTGCATCATCATGCGGGTTACAACCAACCGATCAGCAGAACGAGGGTGTGTTCTGTTATGTGCCGGCGGCCCCACCCACCCACCCAGTCACATAACCCACGTAACCGAGGAGGAGGGAGGAGGGGCCGCCTTGGGCCCTGGGGGCTTCAGGGACGCGCCCACGGCGCGAAATCAGTATCGAAGCTGTGGGGCCGAGATCCTCCAGGGAAACTCCGGGTGGGGGCGCGGATATCGCTCTGGAGGAGGGGGGGAAAAGGAACGGGAGGATGAGGAGGAGGAGGAGGACGAGGGTAAGGAGGAAATCCAGGATGAGGAGGAGGAGGGGGTGCATGAGGATGGGGCGAGTGGATGAGGGGCAGGAGGAGGAGGAGGAGGAGGAGGAAGAAGAGAAGGAGGAGCAGGAGGAGGGGGAACAGTTGCAGGAGATGGAGGAGGACGTCGAGGACGAGGGGCGGCACCGCGTGGCGTGTCGGGATTGTGGTGCCATCAGCGGCGCATGGGGGGAACATCGCGCGAGGGGGCGGAGATCGTTCGATGCCCTTCTCCTCCTCTCTCGTGCTCCCTCACCGTCCTTTTTCCTCTTCTCCCTCCCTCCTCCTCGTCTTCCTCTTCCTCCTCCTCCCCCTCCGCCTCTCCCTCCTTCTCTTCCTGCACCTCCTGCACCTCCTGCACCCCCTCCTCCTCCCTCCTCCTCCTCCTACTCCTCCTTCCCCCCCTTTCCCCCCCCCCCCCCCCCCCTCCCCCTCGTCCTCCTTCTCCTTCCTCCTCCTCCTCCTCCTCCTTCTCCGCACTTCCTCCTTCCCCCCCCCCCTTCCTCCTCCACATCCTCCTCCTCCTCCTCCTCCTGCACCTCCTTGGGGGCCTTTTGGGCGCCTCTTGGGGGTCTCTTGGGGACCTCTTGGGGCGCTCTTGGGGCGCTCTTGGGAGCCTTCGGGGCGCTCTTGGGGCCATGTTGGATGAGATCTATCAAAGAAAGGGGGGTCGTAGATTAGCTCTGCCCCTCTAGAGTGCCTCGAATCGCTTCTTGGGCCCCTCGTGAGGCGATCTTGGACCGCTCTTGGGCGCTCTTGGGGCCGTCTTGGGGCTCTCTTGGGCCTCTCTTGGGGCCCTCTTGGGCAATATTGGAGCCATCTTGAGGCCTGTGAAGGCCATCGGAAACGAAACAGCGAGAAAGCCAACAACATTGCTTTTCCTTAGGTTTTGGCATGACTTTGGCCTCTCGGGGAGCTCTGTGGGAAGCTCTTTGGCCACTTGGGGCCGTCTTGGTGCGGTCTTTAGGCCTCTTGAAGCATCTTGGGATCCATCTTGAGGCATCTTGCGCTATCTTGAGCCATCTTGGAGGCTATCTTGGGCTTTCTGAGGCCCTCTTGGAGCCGTCTTGGGCCATCTTGGACGCCCCAACGACCCGCGGAACCCTCCGTCCAGGTCCAGGGGAGGGGGTGGGGGGAGGGGTAGACCCCTTCCCGAAGGGGAAGACGGGGGTTGGACGAGGAACTCTCTAGACCACCGACGCCCAGAGGGCTGGTGGGATTTCTCCGGCATCTTTGAGGGTCCCGAGGCCCTTAAAGAGCATTTCCCACGGTACGCCGATTGCGCCCAGTGGGTCTCAGAGGTTATCGTTGGGGACCCAGAGGGCTTTTGCGGAGCTTTTCCCCTCTACTCCGATTTGAGCATAGGGGATCTCAGACCTTCGGGAAATTCTGCCACAAGGGAATCTCAGAGGCTACCTGTGAGGACCCAGAGGACCATGAGGAGTATTTTCCGAGTGCTCCGATTGAGCCCAGGGGACCCCAAAGATCATCTACGGGAGAACAGAGGCCTTGGAGGAGTAGTTCCGCGTCCTCGACGAGTGCGCCGTCGAGTTCTCTGAGACCCAATAGGCATCTAGAAGTGATGGCAGTCGTGGATGCGGCGCGAGCGGTAGCAGAGAGATTGTTGCAGAAACGCGGTGGTGAGGCTCCTCCTAGTTTCAGAGCCGTTGAGTGTTTTCTGTCGTCCCAAGGCATTCCCAGGGGCTCGGCCAAGCGGGAATCGCTGCTTCGTAGCAGGCACGTGCAGGAGATTCATGGGCGTGTTTTCCACTACCACCACCATACGGTGGAGTGGAAGGAGGAGCAGTAACAGAAGCAGGAGCATGATGATGATGATGAGGAGGAGGAGGAGGAGGAGGAGGCAAGCTAGGTGCGCGCGCGTCTTATCTAAAATCTGCCGCCTCTGGCGCCGACCCCTATCGAGCGACTGGTTGGAATTGTGGGGGGTGGCAATGACTCAGGTTAGCGGTCGGTACATTGGACGTGGTGGTAGCTATTATCTAGGAGCAGCGATGACCCCATTCCCAAAGGGGAAGAATGGGGTTGGACAAGGAATCGCGATAGACCATTGGCGTCGGAGTCATCATCGTTATTTTGGGTCCCGAGGTGCCGCCTGTGAGGCGGTCTGGTCGGTCTCGCTCGAGACCTTCCTGCAATCGTGGGCTTGGAGATGCCGCGCGAGAGATAATTCATCCTATCTCGCTTCGACATCCTCGCCGTTGTCCTGAGGCGGTCCCGCCCTGTTGGCTTCATTCATTCTCGCAATTGTGCACTTCGAGGCACTCGAGAGGTCTACCCAGCTTCTCCTCCCACATTCCCGCAGCCCATGGATGGCCTGATCTGAGTTGGTCCAGTTACGTTCGCTTCACAGGGTATCGTGATATTAACATGGCGTGGTGACGTCAGCCCGGCCGACTACCTGAGGAAGGGAAACAACGAAGTAGGCAGCGAGGGAACCGACGTAACTGGTGTGACAAATGCCCTCTCAGGCACGCCCCAGGGCCGAAACGGACAATGAGGGAACCGGCGGAATAGGCCCGACAATGGCCCTTTCAGGCTCACCCGGGGCCGGAAGGGACAATGAGGGAACCGACGTTGGGGGGCTGAGGGCTTTAGTTATCAATTGGCTGAGTAGGAGGTTGCCAGGTGATCCTGCCTCCTGATTTAACAGGCGGTCCCCCCTCCCCCCTGCTTGTCGCCACGGCACAAAATCGGGAGCTTCCCGCCGTCAGACTACTGTTAGTTGACGAATCCCACGAGGCCGCCCCTGCACTCCAGAGCGTCGCCGCGCTGCGGCAAGGGGCAGGCGGAGATGCGAATGGCAGCGGTGGCGCTTGAGGAAGGCAAGCGCTTGGATCGTTTGCGGGTGTGCGCAGCACCATGATGGTTCAGTTCGAACCGTGGTATTTCGGAGTAGCGTTCGCTTTCATTTTGAAGTACAGTACGGGCATGCCCGACATGCCAGGGTTTTTGCAGCGGCCCCGATATCGGCGCACAAAGGAGGCTCCGCGCGTAGAAGTACCGCTCTGGGTTGGCAGCGTGAGTCGGCGCGTGGAGAGTCAATTGGCACGCGAATGGCACTTCGGATTCGTGTCGTGAAATTTGTTTTTTCGGTTTGCTGTAAGTCTCAACAGTACGTTTTTCACGTACGTGTCGTGAAACCCAAAAGACGTGGAGGCTCGGATGACCCCGGAGGAAGCCAGTGGATGGGGCGAAACACATGTACAAGGTTTTGGGGGGAACTACCAGGACGTGAGCGGCAACAAAGCATAATAATGTCATGGGTGACATGACGAAGGCGCGGTACGTTCCAGGCCTGTGTAAGGCTGCGCACAAGATGTTGGCCACCATCGAGCACGCGACGCGGCGGCTTCCGGGGGCGCAGGAGACACGACGAGTGATGCAATTTGCGATGAGCGCGCTCCGAGTGCGTTACGGGGTGCCGAATTACGCCACCTTCTCACCGGACGCAGGACATAGCTTGGTAATGGTGCGACTGTCGCGCGTGCGACAGCGGGACCCGGTCCACCATGCGGCGAAGGACGCCACGGCGTCGCGTGCAGCTGGTGCCGAAAGTGGCGCCAGAGACGGAAGACGTGCCTAGAGATTCCGGTTGCTGCGATCCAGTCCGATGTGCCGTCTTGGGCAGAGTGCAGAAAGATGCTTGCCGCGGATCCGATGGCAAGCGTGGTCGGTTTCCGTGTGATTGTGGACGCGACACTTCGCCATCTCCATCGAGGCGCAAAAGTCCACGGGGGCGCTCCATGCGCATTGTCAGGTATTCATACAGTGCTTGCGCCAGCGCGCGCCACTCGAGCGAATTTCCGAACTCGTCCGAGAGAATGCGGACGGTTGGGGACAAAAGTTCGTGAATGCATCTCTGGAATACAAGTAGCGAGTCTGCCGTCAAGAGCACTCGGCGAGTGCCGGCGCAGACGTTGTGGCTCAGAACCTTGCAGCAGCGGAAGCCGCGTGGCCAGAATGCAGGTACGCATGCGGCCTGGTGCCCCGCCCTGCGCATCAGACCCGCCGGGTTGCCCGAGGGGCGACGCGCGCGGAAGAGGCGGGGGAGGCGCGGGCGTAGGAGACAGAGTACCTCGACAAGGACGCGCAGTACCTTCAAGAGCGGAAACATAACCACGTTCATCTGAAGAACTCGGAAGCTGCCGAGTGAGTGCCATTGCCGCCGTGTCGCCGGAATGATAACCCGAAGCTCTGCAGGGCGGATTTTCCACGAATTTCTCAACTCATCAATCGTGTGGCTGCGATCTGTCCAGGGCTCGCGTCCCAGCTGGACATGCCGAAGGCTGGCAGGAGAAACCGCGTGGGGAGCCTGCGTTGGCCCATGAGCCATGAGAGTCTAAACGGAACGCGCGCATGCACGCTGGCCGCGCAGCGCTTCAATTCGGGCGTGCAGCTGCCGTGCAGATTGCCAAGCACCCAGGAGAGCTGCGCTTGCGGTAAGGCGCGTTGGGAGAAGCAGAACGATCCAGCCATTATCAAGGTTGTGCAAGTGGCCCAGGCCGCCCAGGCGGGATGCGCGTGCGACTACTGTGCGCAGCTGCAGCCAATGGCCTTCCACGAAGTCCGCGAGCGTTGCAAAGGCATCGACAAGCTGGGGGCGGCAACTGCGCGGAGAGCACGCGAACCGTGTCGGGAAACGCATGGCGACCCGCATTATGAGCGACGCGTGCGTCGAGGGCATCGTTCGCGGTCAAGTGAAGTGTGCGAACTTGCGGGCTTATGCGCGGAACGGCGACGTGACGTCTGCGGAGTCGGTGACGAGTTGTGCGACAACAGCTCTCTACGGACGCGAGTATGCGGGGATCGTCGAACGCCTGTCGGACGGGCGGGCGGAAGGCGCAGTTTGCGGAAGTTGACATGCGGCGCCCAAGGCGTCTCGGAAAGTGACCATCCGAGACGTGGCCATGTTGTGCGGACTTCGCCCGAAGCGGGACGATCGGTGGCTCCTGTCGCCGCGCGAGTTTACCGCGTTTTGGACACCTGTACTTGTCTTGTACCCCACGAATTTGAAGGGCGCGACAGGTGGCCTTGACAGGCGCCGTGCTTTCTTCGCGGAGCGAGGCGTGGAGAAGGTAAAAGATAATGCGCAGAATAAGCAGCAGGCGCCTGATCTAGAGCCCGGGGAGGACTGCATGGTGAAAGGCGACGCAGGGGAAGATTGGGTTGCCTTTCCAGGGAGTGACGGGTGCAGGCATTTGCGCCACGCGTGGGTATTTGTCTGGAACAAGAGACCCAGGGCGCCGACGTTTTTCGGTGCACCCGTGCCGCGCGGCCGCCGTGGAGAAGCGGGGCACTCCGCGCGCATCGTAATGTCGCATTTCCACCCGTGGACTCTGCGGCGGGCTGAGGCGGGCGAACGCGCGGTGTTCGGGGGGGCGTTGCGTGGGGGCGTGACGACTTGGAAGGCCGCCTTGGTGTCGCGGTAAGATGGCGGGGTGCAATCGGAAGAAGCTGCGCGCCGCGTGGGCAATTTCCCGAGCGCGTGTCGAATGCGCCCGAGAGTTGCGGGCCAGCAGGGTGCGCGTAGCGACGAGGGCGTGATCGACGAAGAATTGGAGATTGGGCTTGACCAGTTGGACGTGGCTCTGAAATCGCGCGTCGGTGGCCGGAAACGGGGAGACGGCGACGGAGATAGCAGTGGTGGTGGAGAAGGCGGCCCGGCGGCGGGAGGTTTGGTAGGGCGCGCCCATTGCGAGAACTCCATGGCAGGCATGTCCGTGGCACAGGAAGTGCAGGGCCAGCGCCCTAGCGAGACGCCGCTCAGTGAGGCGTGCGATCCGTGGCCCGCAGGCGCGAGGTGCGATCTAGACGGCGCCCTGCGGGCAGCGAGGGCGTCAAGGAACAAGGGGGCGCCGGCGGCGGCGTGATGGCAGAGGAAGATGGAGGGAAGGTAGAGTTGCAAGCAGGGGCGACCTCAGCTCAGGTGGCGGAGTGTCTCAGGAATCTGGAATTCAGGGCGGGCGCAAACACAGGGCGGCGCGTTGTCAACGCGAAGCAAATGCGAAATGGCGAAGCAGGTCGTGAAGAAGGGCCATGCAGGACATTGACGGGGAGGCGCGAGGGTGCTTGGACATGGGTGAGCAGTTGCGTTGGTGTATGCACGGAGGGCCCGGCACAGGAAAGTCGCGCGTGGTGCGTATTCTACGGAGGGATTTTTTTTGATGATTTAATTAAATGGACCACGGGCGTGCATTTTCAGATCGCGGCCTTCCAGGCAGTCATGGCGCAGCTGCTCGGCGGGGACACCATTCGCCGCGCCTGCGGCGTCGCCGCCGTCGCGCGCGGCGATGGGGCGAAACTGCAGTGAGTCAGAGCGAAACGAGTGCTGCATAGGAGGTGGTTGTTCATCGACGAAATCAGCATTGCCAGCGCCCGACTTCTAGCCAGGGTGGACCAGAAACTCCGCAGCGTTATTCGCGACGTGGGCAGCCAGAAGCGCGGGGATGGCGGAGCGCCGCGATCGCTCGGCGGCTTGAATGTCGTGTTGGGCGGAGATTTTTGGCAGCTGTCGCCGCCAGGCATCGGGTTTCTGGCAGATGTGCCCACCGAGCACACTGCGAAGGCTCGGATGTATATCTCGCCCCCGCCAGTGCAACATGGGCAAGCGCTCCTGTGGGGGGGGGGGGGGGGGTCCCGAGGAGGGCGCGCAGGGAATGACGGAGCTAGGGGAGTGCGAGCGTTGCGACGATGCCTGGCTGAAAGGTGTACAGGAGGAGCTTCGCGGGGGGGCCCTCGCGGAATATGCGCGCGCGTTATTGCGCGGGCGAGATGCAGGCGTCCTAGGGAGTTGGCGTCATGGGCAGGTTGCATGTGGCCGCGCACAGTGCAGGGCCTTGTTTGACGGCGCAGGGGCCTTGCTGGACGAGTCGGTCGGGGCACGTCGACATCGCGCAGGGGCGCCGAAGGATCTTCGGAGACAGGAGTGTCGGGGGTGCAGGCAAGAGCGCGAACGACGTCGCCTCGTCATCGACGGGCCAGACGACCCGCGACTGCATGCAGCGGTGGCATGGCGAGTTTACAGTGGCATGCGCAGGTTCCGTGGTTCACATAAGCTCATGTCCCCGGCGCCCAACAGATTATTTCGAACGAGAGGGATTAGGGTAGGAAGGGTAATTTGCGCGCGTCACGGACGCGGACCCCACAAACATCGCAGACGCGGTGTTCCGCCAGACGCAGCACGGCTACGTTCGCGTAGACTATGTGTCGAGATCGCCGGCAGGCGTCCCGTTCGGGTGCGGTGTCCCCCGTTAGGGCAAGGATTTGGGGGCCAACGAGAGTTGTCAGTCCGTTTCCCCCCCTCTCTCTCCCTCCTGCCCTCTCCGCTCCTTTTTGTCCTCGTCCTCCTCGCCACAAGTAGTGCCCGCGGGTTACGCCGTGGCGCGTGGCCACGGGTGCTACCGATT